GTTGTCCTGGTTGGTTTTTGTCAACTCGGCACAAACCTATCCATATCTAGGGAGAGGGAAGCTCAACGGAGAACACGCCTCTATCAGATTGCCCATAGACAAGTGTAGGACAAACAGGATTGATGTGGGAAGACCCAGCACACTGTGGGTGGTGCCACCCGTAGGCAGATGGTCCCAAGTGGCATAAAAAAAAGTCTGTGTGAAGGAGTCTTCCTCTATGGTCTCTGCTTCAGTTCCTGCCTCCAGGTTCCTGCCCTTCACAGACTAAACCTTCAAAAAAGAAACAAACTCTTTCCTCCCCAAGTTGGTTTGTTCCCACAGCTATAGAAAGCTACCGAAGACAGAACCTGGTATCAGCATCCCGGAGTATCAGGACAGACCTAGTCATGTTTTGAGGACAACAGTGTTAATGTCTGGAACCTTGTGCTGGAAGAGCCATTGAGTGCTCAGAGCTTAATGGGCTGGTGTGGGAGCCTGAGATATGAGTCCTGAGAGCAATGCAGACAATGGAGGTCTGGCTCGTGAAGGTTCAGAGGGAAACAAAGATGTGACCTGGGTCACTCACATGATAATTTGTATTAAGAACCCGTGGTTCTGGTCAGCTGGAGCTGAGAAATGAGCTGCAGTTATCAAGAGACCAGAACCAATTGGCTGTGGATAAGAAGATACCAACACCATGGAGGCAAAATGCTCTTCCTCGGGGGAGGGGGGGTCAGCAGTCACCAGGCAGATGCAGAGGAAGCAAGATGAGGATGCTGCACTGAGAAAAGGTACCAAGCCACGTGGCTAAACATGGACAAGAAGTATGGGTTAATTTAAATTGTAAGAGCTGGTTAATAATAAGCCTGAGCAATAAGCCAAACAGTTTATAATCAGTATACGACTCTGTGTGTTTATTTGGAACTGAACAGCTGTGGGACTAGGCAGGACAGAAACATCTGTCTGCAAGCTGGGGTCTAAAGGTGCCAAAGTTGCATCTCATGCCTGCAGCCAAACTTGGTAGTGCATACACAACCGCCACATGGTACTACTTTCTGAGGACATGAGAGGGTTTATGGAGGACAGTGGAGGCTGGGCACAGGAAGAGGCCAAGAGGGGCTATTGGTGAAGGTGTAGCGTCAGCTGCAGGGATCACAGAGAGAGACTCAAACTTGGCATCATGTGGCAGGTGAGACCCTGAAGGGAGGCCAGGAGGCAACTGGTGCCACTGGTGAAGGTGGCAACCAAAGACAGGAGCAGCTGTGGAGTAGAGCCAGCTTCAGCTATGAGATGCCGTCGGTGTGTGTGCTCTGGATGGCGGAGCCTAGAAGAGCTTGAGTCCCAAACATCTGTCACTGTTCCTCTCCAGTGCTGGAGTTTGGCTTTGCTTTGACTTGATGTTACTGAGCCTAGTCCTTCCCTCTTGGAATAAGAAAGCTGTTAACTTGTTCGCTGACTTTACAGGAACCCGATTATGAGACAGATATTTTAGAGAGGTTTGGACTTTGAGAGACTGAACACTTAGAGTGACTTTTTTTTTTTTTTTTTTGGTTTTTCGAGACAGGGTTTCTCTGTGGCTTTGGAGCCTGTCCTGGCACTAGCTCTGTAGACCAAGCTGGTCTCGAACTCACAGAGATCCACCTGCCTCTGCCTCCCGAGTGATGGGATTAAAGGCGTGCGCCACCATCGCCCGGCTAGAGTGACTTTTTAAGGATTGTATCTTATCACAGCAACAGAGGCTACAACAGCAACTAACCCTCAAAAACGTGAAAATTCACCTCATGTTTACTATTCAAGTGCGTGATCTTATATTTCCCTATCGCATACGTGTTTAAATCTACACCAGAATATATAATAAATATACATATTAACATGTATAAACCTACACCAACACACACATACACACACACATACACACAAAACTTTGAGCCATTCTATATTGCCTGTCCTTCCTGTGACGAAGACGCTAAGAACTGTGTGTTTCTGTAATACTGGGAATATATGTGACCTGCAACAGTACATACAATACAACACGATAAATGGTGTAAGTGGATGGGATGCTTTTGCACACTATGCTTGGGAGAGGAGCTGAGGTGACTCACCCTCATCGTCCTAAAGCAGAACACTGGTGCCTGACTGGCAATGGCACCCGTAGAGTACATCTACTAAATTCTAAATTCACCCACAAAACCCTAATATACCGCACTATACTTTCAACTTACAATGTTAAAGAAGACCTGGAGTTTTCTCTAAATGTCAAAATGTCATCTAATATTGAGCCTGTTTTGAAAGCAGTGAAGTTTAACCTGAAATATAACAGGTTTTAAGGCATTGTCTAGAATGCAGATATAACACGTGTTTCCTAGGAGACAGAAAACAACACCAAGGCTCTCCCAGTGTCCCTCACTTTTGATGGGCTGGTCTCAAGGCCAGGACCCAAGCTCTCAAAGTCTTTTAAGGCGCACTTGACAATCCCCTCCCCGCGGCTACTACACCACCCTCACCCGGGCTAACTCCTTGGTTCTGCCGGGAACTTTCGGCTCCCTCCTACTGCCCTTGGGCCCAACGCCAAATTCTGGCTTCCCTGCTGCCCATCTCTGAGTCGGGGGTACCAACCTCGCCTGGATTTCTCCAGTTGCTGGTCTTCCATCCCGGGTCAACTCTGATGCTCCTTCTCCAGCCCCCAGGTTACTGTAAATCTTTCCGAATCCTCAAACCTCGAGCCCTCCCCACTCCTTCCCCTGTGCTCCGGCAGTACCTGTGCAGAGCCGCTGCACCTTCAGCCGCCCATTGTAGACGCGGGTCACCTGAATCGTGAGCTCCTCCAGCTCAGTGCTCCCGGGCGCCTGCAGCAAGAACTGGCTCTCGTCGCCTCTCTTCACGTGCAGCACCACCATAGCTGCGCCGAAGGCTTCGCCGAGGGGTAGGGCGGCAGGCCCAAGAGGCCAGCCCGTCCGGTACAGCACTGAGACTAACTGCTGCCCAGTGGCGGAACCAGGGAACTCGGGCTCACGCGTGCGTCCGGTGAGTAAAAAGATCGGCGCACGCTCGCGGAAGTGACTGTTGCCAGGAGCAACAGTCAAACACTGAGCCGGAAGGGCCTCCTGCGCCCGAACCTGACGCACAGTCGCCACTACCGGAAGTGGCTGTGGTCCGGGCAACCGAACCCCAAACCAAGCTTCTATAGGTGAGCGGACTGTCCAGGGAACCCGGGAGATGAGCTGACAGAGCATGGCCGCTCCCAGTTGAGAACTGAGTGGGATGGTGGGCACCACAGTCGCCCCCAAGCCCAGACTCGTTTCCGCACAGGCAATCGCCTCCGGAAATGCCTTCTGCTTCAGATCTGGGGAAGTCACAGTGGCTGAGCCACCCAGACTGTACGGCTAAGTCTTGTCCCCACAATCTCACAAAGGGCAAGTGTAGGCATTGCAGCTTTAATGGAAAGGGATCCTGGCAGTCAGGAACCAAGGAATATTAAGTGCTACAGCTCGGATGAAAAAGTATTCTGGCAGTCGGGAGCCAGGGAATACCACAGGTCACAGTAAGCTTAGTAGTTTACAGTCCTGCCCTAGCGAGAGGCTTCCTCAACGAAGCTGTTACAGCTCGTGTTACAGTTCTGCTCCGCTCCATTCCAGCGAAAGGTCTTCACCCAAAACACATTCAAACCATTTATTGGCAGGGAAGAATCCAGGAGAGTGACTCCTCTGTCAAGGTGGAAGACTTATATAGGGCTTCTTAGGGGTGGAGTTTTTCCAGGGAGAAGATTTTCAGGGTGGAAATTGGTCAGACTTTAGACCCTTGAGCTCGGATTAGCTAAATCTCATACTCAGGGATTGAATGGTTTTCTGCTCAGTGATTGGTTGGTTTTCTTGCATAGGAATTGGTTGTTTTTTTTTTTTTTTTTTTTTTTTTGCTTAGTTGGTCAAGAGCAGATTTGGTTTCAGGACCAAAGTGTTTCTTTCCTTGGCTCCTTTTAGCCTTTTGGCTCTAATTTCAAGGCCAGGGCACATTTCTTTCACTGCCTGATTCTAGGGTCAAAGTGTCTTTCTTTGGCTCTGGTTTCAGAGTCAGGGTGCATTTCTTTGGTTCTTGGTTCAGGGCTAATTTCTTTCACTGGCTTGGGTCTCAGAGCCAGGGTGTGTTTCTTTCAGTGGCTCTGGTTTCAGGGCTGGGGTGAGTTTCTTTGGCTGGCCCTTTTCCTTCACAGCAAGCAGGCGCAGCACTATTCGTCAAGGTGCTCAGAAATAGTGGAGGAGCCCTTGATGCTGTGTGACAAAAGGGAAAGAAAAACAAATGGAAATTCAAATAGAGGAATAAAGAAAATTAACTAGGATAACTGCTCTGTAGCCTTGGAATGATTCCAAATTCAGTTTGGCTAAATAGTGGGTTTCTTCTTTGTGTGTGTGTGTGTGTGTGTGTGTGGTGGCACTTTATATTACTTACTTGCCGGTGGAAAAAGCTGCTGCCCCTGTAACTGATTGTACTGCAGTGATGCGCGGACACTGGACTGTTGCAGGTCTGGAGCTGATTACCTGTCTCGCTAGCTTAGCCTCTTGAACAGCTAGCCATCCACTGCCCTCCTCTGGGTCAGACCTAACGTCCCTAAGACCTTTGCAAGCTATAAACTAAGCTTCCAGTAACAAAAGTTAATACAAAGTTCTGATGCCCACAGAAACAACTTCCAGCATCATCCTGTAGCTGCCTCTTGGATGCATCCATTGGTGTATTTTAAAGTTGCCATGCCTTATGACTTTACAGAGCTATAAAACTATGTGAAACTGCTTTCCATGGTAGATCATAGAATTCTGGGTAACCTAAATCCACCGTGACCGTTCAAATTTGATCCCAGAATAAATTACCTCTTATTCACGCATGGACGGACACACACACACACACACACACACACATGAAAGAAAAGGAAAAAAAGCACTAACTTATTTTCTTCAAATGTCATAAAATTTGTTTATGTAAAATATGAAAAATAGCTGAGAAAATCTTCCCTTTTGAGTAAAGAAGCCATCTAGCGGTAAAGACATATTTATTTCATATGACAGCACATTTCACAGGATATGTACAGAATGTATACCACGGACTTTAATACTGTACTTCTATAAAGTATAGTTATAAATATTGTATGCCACATAAGCAATAAAACTCTTACATACATATAAACATCAGTCTACTATAGAGAACAGACATTCACAGAGATTCTTAGTGTCTATTTTCTGCTCTGCTTTAACCAGAGCTGGTAAATATTCATACACAATATCTAGTTTTTGTAGCAAACTTTCACTTCCTTTGTGCGTTTCCGCAGTGTGCCAGGCCAGACAAGGCTGAGCGGCTGCTCTACAGACTTGACAGTGGTTTACCCCGAGGCACACTGCTTAGGGCTGCAGTCGCACTGCGTCAGCTTCCTAACGATGGGTTAGCTTGCTAATGGGGAGCGGATACCATACACACTAGTCACACAGATGGAACAAGCTAATTCACATTTTGAAGCACACTGCTATCGTAATACTGCAGTTTAAGAGCTACTACTGTTGAAATGATTAGAACCCACAAGCACAATGGAAACCTCACGGAGTTATTGCTCCAGCCCCTTCTGGCTGTAGCCGAGGACACTATAGATACAGTTTTTGATAACACTGAGCATTTGCAAAGTGTCTGTCCTAACAGATGGCTCTACATTACAAGTGCAACACAGTCTGCTGTGCTTTTACAAGGATGTGGCGGCAGCTATACATGTTTCTAGTTTCACAATACACATCTTTAAAGGTTCATGTGGACACTGGAACTTAGGTGTATATATGTAATTTTTATATAAAAAGAACATTAAAGTCTTAATGTGTAAGGATAATTTTAACTTCAACTGACAACCAACCAAACAACACCTTAGGGAGTTTTCCTAACTGGCTTACTTAATGATATCAAAATACACTGTTTTATTTTTTTGTAAAAATTCCATGTACTTCTTCACAAAATTAATAAGAGCAAGATGGGTCGCATACTGGCAGTGCAGGAGACAGAATCCACAGCAAATTTGAGGTATAGCCTCTAAAACCTTAAAGCAGCATCACAGATGGGTTACGGCCTCACACAGGAGGGCACACGCCTGGGATATGTTCCCAGTTCAGAGCACTCAGAGCAAAGCGGTGAACAGGGGTGGAGAGGGACAGGGTCGCACAGAAGAGAGCATGCTAGCTCTGCTATTCTGTCCCTGCCGGTCTGAGTGTCTGTCACGTGACTGACCACAAGGCCTGGACTGCCAACTGTAACCCCAGAGAAAGGCATACTAGAGGTACGGGGAGGGAGGTAATGAGGGTGAGTTTGTAGGGCTGGTGTGCAGTAGGAGATGGCAGTTCTGTAAAGCAGTCATCCTACTCTGGGCTTTAAAACTAGCGAAAGCATCTAAAGCACACCTGGGCGGTAGCCATCTTCTTAATGATGAGATCCCGAAAAAAGGACATTGTCAGAACTGCTGGGTAAAATTATCTGAATTGTATCTCAAGACTTAAGTTTTATAAATATGTATGTCTGTGTCTATATAAACACATGCATATAGACCTCTTGCTAAAGCAATGCCCTCAGAACGGTTTAACTGTAACTCTGGAAGCTCTTTGGTAGATATCTGTGAGTACCAATTGTCAAACAGCAGTAGGCTGGCAGAGTGTCAGCTACAGCTGTGTTGGCTTTGTGTGGTGTTTATGTGAATTTCTGAGTAAGGACTAGTTTTTAAAGTAGTTTTGAGCACTTCTTAAAATGGTTCCTGCTCTTCCTTATTCATCTAAAGAGAAAGACCAGAACTCCAGTTAGTAAGAGGATGTCTTGGTTATTTCCAATATACATAAACTCCAGCGTTGACCACATGCTCTGGTGGTCTTTATATAGATATCAGTGCGCTTAACGATTACTTATTGCACATAATGAATAACTAATGCCCCGTTCTCCCGAGTCTAGCCCGACAAAACAGAAACAAATAGCCAGAGCAAACCAGCAGGAACTCCCTTCCCATCATATAACTATCTTTCTGTGAAGTCCAGTGTGGGAGAGGCCTTAGATGCTAGCGTTGTGCAAGGTCCTGCAGGCAAGCTCGTGCTGGGTGGGAGCAGAGGGGCAGGAGGAGGTGGTGGCCTTCTGGCTGGCAGCACACAGAAAGCAACACCTGCACCTTTACTCCAGTCATCAGATGCAGCTGGACAAACTGACTTGGACGTTCCCGCTGTGGGAAAGTCGTCGTCTTCCTCAAAGGTTACCCATCCTTTGGGGTTGCTTGTTTTTACTGTAGACTGGCTCTGCAGATCAAAGTTGTCCTCAAAACCATCAAATGAACTGGATGGCTTGCTCATGTCATGAGTGAGAGGCAAGAGAGGAGGGAAAGGACTGCTAGGAACAGGCTCTTCTTTGAACAGCCAAGAAGTTGACTCTTGTGACTGAGCTCGAAATGGGTTTCCAGGGGCAGCAGTCCTGTCTGTAAAAGGATTCCTGCTGGGCAGGCTGGAAAACGGATTTGCTGAGGTTCCCATATTTCCCTGTGACTTACTCCGAGCTGGAACTGGGGGCATGGCTGGCATGCAACTCACAGAACTCAAAGAGTTAACACTACTTTGCGATGCAGAAGGCAACTGAATCAACATCTTTGGGTCTGGGGTTAGAACAGGTGACATCTGAGCAGACAGCTGAGCCTTTGATACAGCAAGCAGACTAAGTGAGAGAGCTTCAAATGGGTCACTCTTCAACGCTGGCTCTTGTTTGACACCAGAAACTCCATTTGTTTTTACCTGGAAAAGAATGAACACTGAATGACTGGTTTTTACTTATTATTTTCTTTTCTTCTTATCTTTATTATTTCTCCTTTTCTTGAGCAACTATACAAATTTAGAAACTAAAAAGTAACTATAAGTTTTTATTTTGATGGCTTAATAAATAGAATGAAATAGGTAAAATTCTTGAAGAATTTATAACTAAATAAATCCTTCTATTAAATCCATGTTTTAAATCTCAAAGAAATGTGATGGTATAATTTCTTTCATTCAGTTTTTGAAATGGTAAGAAAGAGAATTATATGAGTTTGTTCATATCCTGTTCTTTTAATTTTTTTTTTTTTTTGGTTTTTCGAGACAGGGTTTCTCTATGGCTTTGGAGCCTGTCCTGGAACTAGCTCTTGTAGACCAGGCTGGCCTCGAACTCACAGAGATCCGCCTGTCTCTGCCTCCCGAGTGCTGGGATTAAAGGTGTGCACCACCACCACCCGGCTTTGTTCTTTTAAATTTTAACACAAACTTAAACTTATATGCTAAGAGCATTTGGTAAATATGCATAATAAACTTCCAACACCCATCTATGAGGCTATATTTTCACCTAAATTCCCTACAGAAATTCAATTTTAGGAATAAAAGCTAATTTATGAACATATTCATAAATTCAAAACTGCGGATGGAGTCTTTTCCTTTCTGTTTGGAAAAGTAGAGTTTCAAAGGTTCTTTGCTTTTTAATGAGAGCTGGCTCACTGAATGACACAACTTTCCTTAATGGACCTTCCTCATCCTATCAAGCAAGACAGATAAAAGCAAGGGTTATTTAAAGTGTGGGATGGGGACATTCCATTTTATATGAATACCAATTCTAAAAATCCTAAAACCAAAAAGGCTGCGCTGAGTGCACTGGCTGTGAGCCGAGAGCCATGGGAGGGGTGTGTTCAGAGCCAACACTGCAGCCATGAAAATCGCACTCCCTCCCAATCCCTTGTCCACCAAGAAGCTGGTTGGGCAGCCCGGCCCCTGGACTTGAGCAGGCTCAGAGGAAACCGGCGTGCACATGACAGTGAGACCAGACCACCATCCACACTGGATTAACTGTGACCTAAGCAGGATCTGGAAAGGGTGGAGATGTGCTGACATCAGAGGAGCTTCTGCAGAGAAAGGTGTTGGAAGGGCTTTTTAAATGCTATTAATTTTAAAGTACCAACTCTTTCTTACCAAAAAGAATCTGGCTTCTAAAATGATCTGAAAAAAGACTTCCCAAAAGAAATCTAAGGAATAAACAATTAGATTTTGTGTTTATGTAATTATGCCATTGTTAAAACCAAGAACCAAAGTGGATCAGCCAAGTAGGCTTTCATATACAAATCATTTCTTTTTGAAATTATACTTTTTAGTTTTGTTAATTTGTATAGAAAACAGAGCAAAAAAAATGGTAAAGCATTAGCAAGAACTAAAATGGTTCCTAAAAATCCAAAATACTAAGAAAAAGCAGGTATGAGTTTATGGTATGGTAATAGAATTTATTAATGTGGACGAGTGGATTTAAAAATGGGTGAAACTTGAGATGTATGACGCGAAAGCCTCATACATCTGCGCTGGGGAGACGGATGGAGAGCACATGGAAGGTGATAAACACTCAGGTACCTGTTACCCTGACGGTTGCTCCTGCTTTGAGAAAAGGAACACAGACATCAAAGGAGAGAGTTAGGACAATTCCAGAGCAGCGGCAGCCCCAACCAGACAGTCCTCAGAAAGCTGTGGCTCTAGTCACACGTGAGGCTCAAGAAGAGCCCATGCAGGGGATGCCGTCAGTGTGTGACCTCAGGATGTAAGCTTTAACAGTGTCCAGCTCGAGTCTCTTACCACTACTTCCCTTACTGGAGAAAGCGTACCCAACAGCGCTCTGCTGAGGCACAGGTCACCCCACGGAGAGTGTCAGCACCAGCCTTGCCAGTGCTGCTCAAGTTCCCTAAAGGACTTAGAAAGTTAATTCCCTTATTATTTGATAGCCGGAAGATACAACAAGGTAAGAAACCAATTTTTGTTGTTTAAAATTGAAATAAAAAACTTTCAATAATCTGGCTGTATTTTAAAAAAATCTGGCATTCTTAAGGCACTGGCCCTTCTGATACTGAAGTTTATATGTAAACACTGGTGTGTGAGCAATAAACAGAATGTGCAGTTTAGTAACTGCTAAGCTCAACTGGGTCTTTCTCAATAAAGTGAAAATATTTTTGAAAATTAAAAAAAAAGATGCCATCCTAAATATATTATGTACCTTAGAATTTCTCGACTTCCTTACCCTTCCTTCTCCCCTTTTTTCCAGTGCAGGGGATGACCCAAGGCTGTGTATGTGTGGCCAGTGTTCTGCCACTGATATACATTAGCGTGATGCTGTGACTCAAGTCACCACTGTCGTGATGACCCAGGGATGTGCCTGACTGGCCAGTGTCCAGCCACTGATATACATCAGTGTGATGCTCTGTGACTTGAATCCCCACCGTCCTGATGACTCTGGAGTCATGTGCATCAGTTCTGTCTGGCACAGGACAGCAAAGAACAGGCTTACGTTAAAGGTTCAAGGCACTGTCATCATATGAAATGGACCTCGGATACAGACATTACAAAGTGGGTGGAGTGAAGGTGTGTCTACTCTAAAACGAATGCCTTAAAACTGTATTTACAGTATTCAAGATGACTAGTTTCAACAATTTCTGCCTTCTAATTAATTTTTTAAATAGACAGTACAAAAATAAATCTTTAAAGTTGGAGGAAGAGGGAAAAAAATAGTAGCTATTTATTCTTTGAAGGGTTTATATTAGATATCTTCAGCACCTCTACTTTAACCTAAAAGGTTAAGAGTAACTTTTAGTATTAACCAGCTGAGAACACTTTATATTTTCTATTGCTTTCTTTAGCTTTCAGCAATGTAAGCAACAGTCTAGCAAGTACCAACTGCTAGTGACTACTTTGAGTCTTAGCTACTTTAGATTCTGCTTGGCAACAGAGATCTGTGTTAGAAGCCTGCCAAATAGGTCAATATAACCATCTATCTGTGAAACAAATGCAAGTTATTACTGATAAAATATGTTCAAAGACTACTGCCAGTACACAATATTTCAGATTAAAGCATGGACTTCTAAAACTTTATATCCTGCTTTGGTTTTGATGGCATTTTCAAGTAAAGATTTTGTATAGGGTGATTCAGCAAAATGTACTTATTAATTTTATCAACTTTACTTACAAGCACACAACAAAACTAACCCAAAGGTAAATACAGAACACTCTTAAATGTAATGAGCACAGTGCAGAGCAATCATGTATCTCATGGCAGCGCTGGCGATATGACACAACAGGAATGTCCATGACTTCATGCCAGGGCCATGGAGCGGTTTCTGTGAGACCCAAATGAAAGGATGTGGTCATCTGTGGTGTCCGTGTGAACCACTCCTGTAAGACAGCAACCCCAGGAACCCAGTGGCAGCTCAACACAGAACTACTGCTTACATCAAGAGGCAGTGAAGACTCACTCTGTATGCAGGAAATGGACCACCAGGCCAATGTCTAAACACTGAACAGGTCTTGATTGCATCTCTCCAAAACTAATATCATCTCAGCAATAAGAGGACTCTTATTATTGTTCATATAAATGATAAACTACCTAAAGCAAACAATGTATTTAAAGTTACAAATGAGGAACCACTTGGACTTTCCTAAAGAACCCTGATCCAGTATCAGGGGATCTGAAAACTCTTTAACTGATTAACCCTTGCTAGCCTGGAACTCGCTTTACAAAGACCAGATTGGCCTTGAACTTGTGAATCTCTGCCTCCTAACCTGGGATTACCTAAGCATTCCTGTTGCTCTCTGAGATTTTCTTACTTAAGCAACACATATGAACAAACAAACAAATCCTTAAAATTCTTAACTAGCCAATAGAATGCAATTCATTTCAGGAATCAAATGATACTAAAGTCATTTCAAGGGGCTATTACTTTCAAGTGGCATATTTACTCTTAACCCCTGGTCATTAAGATAGCCTAAGAGCATAGGCACCAGAGACGACACTTACTTGCAGCTGTGGTGAGGAGTCTGCAGGCAAGCTATGAGATGATCTGCTCCGAGGTGGGGGCTGTGGTGGGGTTTCCAAATTTGGTTGGGGGCCAGAGGGAGGCATAGGTGCTGCCACGGGGACAAGAGGCTCCTGCAACTTTTGAGCAGGTGGGGGCAGAGAAGGCTGCGGAGGAAAAGCAGCCTGAGGCTTCAGTGGTTCTGGAAGGACAGCTGGACCTAAAACACCAAGGGCTGTCATGTTAACCGTGCTGAAAAAGCCACAAGCCATCTCTTTCTTTAGGGCAATGTGCAAAGGTATTCTATTTTCCCCTTATTTCCAGGAGCCAAGGGAGAAGATCCCATCTGAGTAAGCTGGATCTTAGGAGAAGAGAGAGGAAAGAAGAGCAGAGGGAGTGTGCTCCCAGCATGCCTACCTTTCGACGTCTCTGGGGGCTTGCTCTGGCTTTCAGGAGTCAGCCTTCCGGCAGATGCTCGTGCCTGGCTCTGAGGGGCGCTGATCACTCCAGCACGTGCTGGAATTGCCTAAAGATGGGGATACACTAGTGACATTAACCTGTCTTCAACAGTTAGAGTCTGTGAAAAAATGCCTGCTTTCATGTCTCACTGACTCTTGGGTGTAAGTCCCCACCTCCCCACTTTTTCTGTTTGTAGCTGAAACAGTGACACAATACATTCCCTTTTGTTTTTGACAGTGTACTGTGGCCCAGGCACTTGCAAGTATGATATAGGCATTTTTTTAATATAGGCATTTTTATTTAACTTTCAAAATAACTTCATATGTAATTTGTTACCTGAACTTTAAGGCCTGACACTGTGGTCCCAGGCTGCTCTGGAACTCACTACACAGATCGGTTTGGCCTTGGGCTCACAATAGCAATTTCCTTGCCTCAGCCACCTAAATGCTGAGGTTACAGATATAAGACACCCAGCCTGGTGTTAAGAGAACTTTTAGCCTCACAGAAACCCCAACTTCCCTCCCCATCCCTACATAATTGAGGTGCTGTGGGGGTGTGGTAGTGGTCAGTATATGGCAAACTTAGCTCTTGTGAAACAGAGTTAACAGCTATCTTGAGGTATATTTTACAGACAGTTTAATTTAAAGAGTAAGATTGTATTATATATGTGGACTTCAGTTTGTTAAGTAGATGGCTACTAAAGACAGACCAGTTTTGCCAGGCACTTGTGGTACACGCCTTTAATCCCAGGCAGAAGCAGACAGATCTCTATGAATTCAAGGCCAGCCTGGTCTACAAGAGCTAGTTCCAGGACAGGCTCCAAAGCTACAGAGAAACCCTGTCTTGAAAAAACAAAAAAAAAAAAAAAAAAAAAAGACACTGGTTTCTGTTTCATAAGAAGTGGTGTCTTAGGTTCCCAAGGTCTTGGCATAGTGGTGCTCTAGCCTATGGTTTTTCTTTTGTACTCTTTGTGTGTGTGCAGGCATTCATGGATGGCACATGTGTGATGTCACAGGACTGCAGTCTCCTCTTCACCATTACATGGGCTGCAGGGGACAGAGCTCAGGTCACCATTACATGGGCTACAGGGGACAGAGCTCAGGTCACCATTACATGGGCTACAGGGGACAGAGCTCAGGTCACCATTACATGGGCTACAGGGGACAGAGCTCAGGTCGTCAGGCCTGCGTAGCAAGCACTCTCTCTACCCACCGAGCCACCCATGGCCCTATCTGTTTCTTTCTGAATAACTGTTACAGCTCAGAAAAACTTCATTTGAGTGAATAATGGAAACTGTATGTATATAACAAAATATATCCTAAACAAACAGAAGCCAGAGGTTTATAAAGTTTTATAAACTAGGGCAAAAAATCTTATAAGCCATCTGCCTTCCTAATTTTAGTATCTTCAGAACCAGTTTAAGTATTGTATTATAATTTTATGCTAATTAAAGTCCTTCTTAAAAAAGCCTTTTTTAAAGACAAGGTCTCTCTCTGAGTATTCTGGAACTTACTATATCTCACAGAGATCTTGCATCCTTAGTGCTGAGATTAAAGTTGTATGTCACCATACCTGGCTGGAAGGATAACTTTGTATTTCCATTGATTAAATAGGTTACGTGATAAATAGCTATCCAAATACATTACTACTTCTTCATATTTTAAGAGATACTAAGAAAATACATTACTCCTTCATATTTTAAGAGACACCCAGATGTTAGTGTGGTCATTTGGAGGTATGGGAAAAAGGTGAGAGTTGAGATAAAGCTTAGAGATCACCAGTTCCCTTATTTTAGAGTTGAAAAGCTGAAGCCTGGGAGGTTTCCCCCGATTTCCTCCAAAGTTATCAAACAGATTAGCTGCAAACTGGACCTTAGAAGAAATACCTCTTCACTCTCAGGCCAGGTGTTACCTACCGGTCTGGCTGCAGCATATCCAGCAGGTCCTGGGCCTGCAAGTCCTGCTTGAGGTGAAGGCTGATTACGTCCTGAAACAAAGACATCACATTGTGTATTTAAGTATAAAAAAGAAAGTTTTTTTTTTTTTTAAAAAAGTGAAAAGTATAAAGAAATAAGAAACCATGCACTTCTAGTTCAAGTGTCTATTGTATATGGTCCAGTTTTAAGGGGGAGTAACTACATTCAAGTGTTTTTACCTATATTATCTTTCCGTGTTGTTCCCGGGCTTTTGGGTGCTTTGGAACAGAAAGGAAAAAGAACCAACCATAGGTAAACAAGAAATCAACAGTGCATGGCATCACCTGGTTGCGCTGTTCATTGCCAGCAGAGACAAAGGCACGAGACGGCAACAAAACAGGCACGTAGCTTTGTGTAAAGACAGAAACTGGAGTATTAGAGAGACCTGCATGGGAGACAAAGGGAGTCACACTAAGGTGACGGTCTTCACAGACCTCTGTCCATGAACCTTGAAGACCTGGTCAGCTGCTCCTTACAGCTTGGCAGACAAATGGCTCGTGAGCCACAGCTCCTACAGCTCTGCCTGTCATAGCACAGGTCTAACTGTGGGTAAAGCTACTTTAGGATGAGGTCTTTCAGAATCTACAATAGACTATCAGGACCAAGACAGAAGACAAGTACAGACACACGGACATGAAGAGTTACAGTATGGTTCAAACTCAGCAAGGCAGCCTAAGAATCAAGTGAAATTACTCAGGGAGACAGAAAGAATAAAGACGCCAGCAGGCATTATCCTTGACTTTCCATTGTAAGGAGAAATCTGAGTACAATGGTTATATTAATACAGCAGTTCATAAATAATTGTAGTCTTAACGAATGGCCCCAACAAATGGTCTTTTAAGCAATCTAGCCCAATACCAAAAATATTTAGAAACACCTTTTATAAAAAGAAAAATCTATAAAATACTCGATTCTAGTACCTTACAGTTACTAATCTACTAACCTTCAGGTTAGTAAACATGTGACTTATTCATTCTTTCAACAGTAAGTTCGTAGTCCAAGTACACAGGACTAGGTATGAACAACACAGGAACCTCAGGGCTAAGACATTAAATGGGTAGCCACTGGGAACTATACATACAACAGAGAAGGAAAAGAGAAAAGCATAAGGTGTGTGTAAGGACAAGGAGAGGTGTCTACTTTGGTAGGATTTAGTAAGCCATGAAACACTGGAGGGGCTGACATTGAGAACAAGAACCATATCTATAATGTAAAAATTCTTGTTACCTTCCATCTCTCTCCTAGCTACCCCAGGACTGGGAGGGGCTCCAACACCTTTTCAGAGAAAGAACAAAAGCTATATATAGTTCAGAGTCCAGAGCACAGGATGGAAGGCAGGGACACGATTATTCTTGATTATTCTTGCATGAAGGGCCTTTTATTGCTTTAAATCTCTTGGAAGTTATCAAAGTTATTTTAGCTCAAAGCTGACTCCTCCTTTTTCTCAGATCTAAGAACATAAGCAGGAGCATTGCTTCCTTTTCATATCTGAAATTACCAGCAGTAAGGAACCCCCCCCAAAAAAAAAATCTAATGTAAAACTTTATGATTATCTCTCTCTCTCTCTCTGTTCCCCCCCCCCCCAGACAAGGTTTCTCTGTAGTTTTGGTGCCTGTCCTGGAATTAGCTCTTGTAGACCAGGCTGGCCTTGAACTCACAGAGATCCACCTGCCTCTGTCTCCCAAGTGCTGGGATTAAAGGCGTGCACCACCACCGCCCAGCTAATCATCTAATTTCTTTTGTCTAGATTACTAATACATTATTTGGTAGTAAAAAGAAAAATAATTGTAAATAAAGTTTCAAACCCATCTTAAATTTCTACAAAAAGACATTACTTTCTTAGGAGTTAGTTTCTGATGGATTCCCTAAGCTCACTGTCTCGGAGGATTACTGGCTGCAGGATAAGATAAGTTGTAGCAGACTTATGAAGGGGGCCATTTTAAAATGAAAACAGATTTCTAAAAAAGCTACTGATTTGCTAATATGATACAAGTTTTCACAAATTCATTTTAAAATTTAATTTCTACAGATTAGTTTCCTAGTAAAGTGGAATTCACCCTAAAAATAAAAAGAATTTTCTAAAGAAAAAAGAAATGTTTCATAGGAGCTATCCTGTTCAAATTATGTAGCCACCCTTATTACAAAGTAACTAAAATCTTCACCTTAGCAGTGGTAGGTGGCCACAACTGACCTGGATCTCAGCAGACAACGACAGGCAGCTGAACACAGCTGCATGGCCAGGGGCTTTAGGAGCGTCATTAACACTGAGCTGCTCAGCTCTGTGAAGAACTGGCACAACCTCCATCTGAGCTCAGCAATGAACCCTGCAGAATGAGCTGTCAGTTCTACCTCCGTGTTTAAGTGCTGGGACTGAATCCATGGCTTGTACATTTCAGGTAAGCACAGTCGGCGCATCCCCATTCCTACTTTCAGTTTTCATGTTAACTAAATAAATTACTTTTTAAATAAAAGCAACCAATACTGAATAAAAATTGCCTCACTGAAAAGAAGAAAATCATAGTTTTGCATAAACAGATGAGGCAAGAATTCGATGAGTTATTCAAAATGCAAAGTAAGATATAGTTTATTAGTTCTACTCACAGATAAAACCAAGCTCTAGTACGTTAACAGAAACATATAAAGTTTGGAACTTTAGAATATGAGAATAAATGTCATTCATTTTGATGCTTACCAAACAGACCTAAACTGTCTCTGATTATAGAATTCAAACTCCAAAACAATAAACCAGCATTCACACAGGATAGCAAATGTAAACGGTTACCTCCAAATTCTTTCCTAGCAGGTGCAGGACTCCTAGCCCCTTAGAGTTCATAAGAAATTAGGCAGCAGAAAGGAAATAACATTAAATAAGAGTTGAGATGTCAAGATCTGCTCCAACAGCCATGATAGCACATATGTATGACTATGTAAATATCCAGACACTACACAAAGCCATTCTTCAATGCATATGCCCACAGCAAGTGAACATTGTATTTAGCTAAGAGAACATTTAAAGATACATGTAAAGCATATTAAAAACATGTATGCTCTTCAGTTTTAAAATAAGATTTCCACAAATAAATGTTAGTTGTCTTTATAAAGCTATAGATGAGTAATTTAAAAAAAACCATTTTACCCAAGAACATCATACATGCACAAAAATATATCAAGTTAGCAAGATCCAAAGAAGCCTCCCCTGTACACAGGCAAAGAGGCAGCCTACCACATGCTCAAGAAATCTGCTTGACAGACATATCATCCTGTGGCTCCTCTTAGAGAAGTAAGAAGTAATAATGATCATACAAACACAAACAGAATCCAGAGTCTAGCAGCGTGAAAACATGCACAATGCTTTCAAAATGAAGAGGAGGAGAACTTTAAGCTAAGCAGACACCCAGGAGTAATCGGTTACCTGAAGGTGGAGGTGGTCTCTGTGGTGGGGCAGGGCGTGCTGGAGGAGCAACTGGGCGGGGAGGGGGTGGCCTCTTGGGCTCTAAGGTCTGGGAAGAATCTTTCTGGGCTGCTGGCTGAGTGTCAACTGGAGAACCTAAAAAGGGAGGAGGTAAGATCAGGGGCCAACCAGGGGACAGTGGGAAGGAATGTACATATGTAATGATAATGCCCTAAATTTATCCTCCAAAAATTCTGTACTAAAGGCATAGTAAAACATTTTCAGTGTGAATAAAGCAACAGTGAATAAAGGAACCACTGTCTGGGACCATGGGCACCATGTGCTACCCTGTGCTCACCTCTTATCTGGCAGAGGTGCTAAGAGCTGACTTGCTGAGGAATTCTCTTAAGGGACAAAAGTTTACTCTTTCAACTATGTCATACACAACTTGCTGGCCGGCAAAGAAGGGGGAGCCCAAATGGACAAACAATCTCATCATAGAACAGAAAATCACAAATTGTAAAACATAGACAATCCTAACACACATCAATAGGATAATTCCCAATCAGCAGCAACGACTGAGAGTCTGCTCCACTAAGAGTCATGGCTGAGGAAATCCGCTTCCTGTCTCAGGGCACTCAGGGCATGGGCTAAAAAGCTAAACAATGTTTACTTGTGAGTTTTGCTAACTTGATACACGTTAGAGTCGCTGGGGAAGAAGGAAACTCAGCTGAGGAACTGTCTCCATCAGACAGGCCTGGGAAGGCCCAGGCCATTGTGGGCAGTGCTATCCTAGGGCAGGTGGTCCAAGTGGACTAGGAAAGCAGGCTGAGCTAGCCATGGAGAGCAAGCCAGGAAGCAGTGTTCCTCCATGGTCTCTGCATCAGCTCCTGCCTCCAGGTTCTTGCCTTGAGCTCCTGTCCTGGCTTCTCTTAATGAATCTGTAGGCCAAACACCATTCCTTCCCCAGGCTGGCTTTGGCCAGTGTTTTAGCACAGCAGTAGAGAGCAAACTAGGACACAACGGTTCCCCAGACTGGCTAGACAGAGTCACACGAACACTTAACGTAAGTACACACTCTGGGAACTCAGAGGCCCTGAAGTTCTTGAGGGTGCTCGGCTGGGTCTGGCGGGAAGAGACAGTGCGGAGTACTCTGGCATTGTAGGTGACTGGCAGGGACTGGTCCGGGGTGAAGAGCTTGGAGAAGTGCCAAGGCCAGAACTTGAGGACGGCTGTAGATGCTGAGGGAGAAGCTCCTCTACTTCAGCACTGTAGTCATCGACATCACCTAACGAAAAAAGCAAGGCCACCATCATCTTAACTTTTCATATTAGGCTTTATAGGGCTAAAAGATACAAGGCAGTCATGAACCACAGGTTGAGAACTGCTGCCTGTTTTAACCAGAAGTCTCCCACTTCACGCTCTTCCACCCAACATAGATCCAGTTTCTCCCATCAGGGCTCATCTCCACTTAACCTAAGGGTTGGAAAGCAGGATCAGGGTACCCCGTGCAACAGGGTTCCTAACCCACAACATAAGCCTTCCTCCCGAGTGCTATTTTTAAGGCTATGTCACCAGGAGTTTGGAATACCCTTTATCCCACCCACTTCAGAAATCTCTACCCTCCGACCTTCCAGTGACTAGAACTAAGGATAGTCAGTCAGGACTAAGCACAATGGGACATGAGCACTATCACCTTTCACCTTTCTGCATACACCAAAGTCCTATGGACAGCAAGTGGAACAATCCGCAGCTTTGTCCCCACTGACAGCAACAGCCCCAGCCTACCCGATCTTTGGGCACTTACTGACTGGCAACACTTCATTCGGGTCACTTTCTTTCACTCCACCAAGATCTAGCTTGCTTCCTAGTGTTCCAGCCCCGTCCAAGGCGGCCCCTCCTATGTTTAGCTTCAGCAGTTCACCTGACCACCCCCACTGTACGGTTCTTCCATTGCCTGTGCCCAACAAACCCTTTCCTAGGCCAGTCCCACTACTTCAGGTCTCGACAGTGCACTCGTCAGGGGGTGCCACTTCCTGAAGAAAACCACACCATCCTCATGGTCATAATGACAAGTCTGTAGTTTTCAATTTCCTTTGGGTCCCCCAAGTTGCCTGAACATTCTGATTTCTTATTTAGTTATTCTTCTCATTTCCTTTTGCCAGAACACTATCTCAAAGAGTCTCCTCAAGTCCCAGTCCAGCAAACCATTTGAGCACTTAAGGTGTCTGCAGGCGGAGCCTCCGTCACCAAGTACCGCGAGCTGCATTCTAACCGCACAGCTGGTACTCAGGCATGACTGGCAGATTGGATGAGGCCAGCACTGCCCTCCTCCCTCAGACCTTGTTCTTCTGTCAGTGCTCTCACAGTATCAGCTGCACTGAGCACCACTGAGCACTCTCAGCACCCGCCCCCCCCCCATTTAAAGCAACTGTTCTGCACCCCTACTTCACCTGCCACCCAGAGCAATTTCACCATCTGCTTTTACCACACCAAAATCACTCTTACAAAGGTCACTAACAGCTTCCCTCACTGCTCCTAAATTAGACAAGTTTCTGTCCTTATTCTGTCCCTCATCTCTCTGAGGTTTGAGATGTCATGGACCATTCTTTCCTGTTTATACTACTTTTTTTTTTTTTTTTTTTTTTTTTTTTTTTTTTTTTTGGTTTTTCGAGACAGGGTTTCTCTGTGGCTTTGGAGCCTGTCCTGGAACTAGCTCAGTAGACCAGGCTGGTCTCGAACTCACGGAGATCCGCCTGGCTCTGCCTCCCGAGTGCTGGGATTAAAGGCGTGCGCCACCATCGCCCGGCATTTTTTTTTTAATACTTTCTTGACTTTAACAATGTCTTTACTTTTATGTGTATGAGTTTATTTACATGTATGTGTATGCACCACACAAGTGCAGTGCCTGAAGAGGCCACAAGAGGCACTAGATCCCATGGAACTGGAGTTACAGAATCACCATCTGGGTTCTGGGACCCTGATGTGGGTTTCCCCTCTGTATGCTGTAATATCATTGGTTAATAAAGGAACTGCTTTGGGCCTATAGCAGAACTATAGGGAAACAGAGCTAGGCAGGGAAAACTAAACTGAATGCTGGGAGAAAGGCGGCAGAGTCAGAGAGAAGCTATGTAGCCCCTGCCAGAGACAGAAGCAGGAACTTTGCTGATAAGCCACAGTCATGTGGCAATACACAGATTAATGGAAATGGGTTAAAGTACTATGTGGGAGTTAGCCAATAAGAAGCTAGAGCTATTGGGCCAAGCACTGATTTAAATAATATAGTTTCTGTGTGATTATTTTGGGTTTGGACTACCGAGAACATACAAGCGGCCTCCCTCCTACAGGAACCAAACCTGGGTCCTCTACAAGAGCAGCCAGTGCTTTTAACCACTGAGCCATCTCTGCAGCCCCTTGACTTTATTTTTTCTAGACTACAAACTTTCCCATGGGGCATCATACCACCGTTCATTATCACGCTGATATCACTTACTATGATTGCCTGCAAAGCACCCAGCACACAGTGAGTTCCAGAGCTAACAAAGAACACGGTCACAGAATTTGCAGCACCTGGCATGCACCTCGATGATGGTTAATTGTGATGGGACAAATAGCTGGGAGAGCAGTAAAGCCTACCTCTGGCTCTGCCTGTGAGAGCACCCAGAGGAGATTAGACAGCTCTGATATAACAAATGGAAACAGCATTGTTGGAAAGTGGTAGAAAGCTGGAGGACTAGGTCAGTAGGAGTTGTCTCTGGGTCTATTTCCTGCTCTGGCCTATTTTCATATGTACCCCTCCGGCCTTTTCTTTGCTTTTTATCTGCTAAGAAGAAAAGACCGGCTTCCACAATCTGCTCCTGCCTCTATGTTGCTCCTCCAAGTATATGTACCAATCAACCAAGGACTCAACATCTGAAAACATATGCCAAAATATTATCTTCTCCTTAACTTGTTTCTGAAAGGTATTTGGCCACAACTAGAAAGGGAACCAACATAACTTAACATCTAAAAATTGTGTATTTATGTGTGGATCAAGTAAATGACCAATATAAAAGCTAGTGATTATCCTAAAAGATGTCTAACTTAGATGTGTTATCTAGAGGTGCAGAGTCAGGTACACATTTCTGGGGAGGCCAGTGATGTAACCCATGGCCTTATACACATTAAACATTCACTTTATCACAAGTATATCCTAGCACTCAGGAGGCAGAGGCAGGTGGATCTCTGTGAGTTCGAGGCCTATAAGAGCTAGTAGTTCTAGGACAGACTCCAAAGCTACAGAGAAACCTGTCTCATAAAACAAAAACAAACAAAAAACAAAGTATATCCTAATGAAAACTATGCTCACACATATAACATAGTATTAGAAAGCAAATGTACTTTCAAATAATGTTTAAGAAAACTACAACACCCAGATAATTTGTCTCAAAATTCAACTGAAGTAGATACCTTTCTATGCATGGGTTCAGTTTCACATGAATGTATTCCTAGTCACTTGGACTCTCTCTGAATTCCTTTGAAACATTTCTTTTGTAGTAATTATTATGAACTCATTTTAGCAGTAAAAAGAATCATTTGGAACTTATGCTTCACTGTAATTATTGGCACAAACAAAATATCATCCTGTGCTTTTATTATACAATATATAGTAAAATATGCAAATGTATTTACTATTTAATGATAAAACAGCATATGCATTCCCAAGTCTAATATAATGAGATATAAGGAGAGGGATAAACTGGACTCTAAGTCAGCAGTGCTGGGAGGGTGCAAACAACACAGAGTAAGTCTGGTCAACATACGAACCTTCCATGTCGAAATCGGCTGTGAGCTCTGCGTCCTCACCGAGCAGGGTGGAGCTCGTTGATGAGGGCAATGTGACACTGATTTTCTCCAAACTCATCTCTTCTTCCAAATTCTTGATCCAGTCTGGACTTTTTAAGGTAATTGTTATAGTCCGATTTAATAACTAGTTGGCATAAAAAAGATGTGGAAGAAAAGCTTAGTAACACAGAAACTAACGTGGGAGAAGGGTGCCTATGTTACCTTATGCAATGGCACCAATGGTTTAGTTGGATTCTAATCAAAATAAAGTCTTCCCCACATACTAAAATTCTCCCATGTGCAGGCTTTCACCAATCTGCCTATAAAAGCCTATGATGTCAAGCAAAAGTAATTAGGATTCCTTTTCTCTAGCCAGCATCTCTTCCTGGCCAAATACAAACTACTGGTAGTCTATTGTTAATTCCGGTTTGGACCCATAAACTAAATGGAAACAACCACAGGAGAGACAGAGGCCTTGAACACACACTTGCTATCGTGGTCCTCTCTACTCTGGCATGATGGCCCTGAGAGCCGCTCTACTGTATGCTGCTACATACGAACCTGTGGCTTTAGCATTTCACATGTATGAAGAATGCTGTGTGAAGATTACTTTAGATCTTCTACAAAAATTAGCTGTTCTGAGAGAGACTCAACAGCTCTGCTCTCTGGAGCAGAGACACCAGGATGGACGGAGGCTAGACTCTTCCCGGTAAGCACACCTTGGGGTGCTTACACATATCATTAGAAAAGGGCTAGTCCAGGTGCGAGAATTAGCCTGTAAGGGCTAGAGTTCATGGGCCAAGCAGTTCTTAAATGAATACAGTTTGAGTGTTGTTATTTCGGGCATGAGCTAGCCAAGCGGCCGGGGTGTTGGGGACGCAGCCCCGCCGCTTCTTATTTCAACAGATGGCGCCCAGACGTGTGGACAACTGAATCCACAGAAAGCCTGAAAAAGCTTGGGAAAGAGTAAAGCATGTTTTCTTGATAGCAGCAATTTCTTGGGTCTGCTCTGCTTGTTAGAAGCAAGCAAGCAAGCACTCTCATCTAAGAGAGGCTTCCTGACTCAGCTTCAGCTGCAAAACCCTGCAGCTCATTAAGAGGTCCTGCCACGAAACACTTAAACGGTGTTGGTGAAAAGCTGAACGCATGCTTTTCGGTTTTCAGCCGTAGCAGGAAAAAAGCTGTGCTGTTTAAAAATGCCGGCTTTCTGGGCCGTCCTGCCAGGGCAAACTCTGACTGAGGCAGGAGGGCCAACTACCGAGAGAGGACTTGACTGTTGTCTGTTGTAGCTCGCTGGCTGGCAGGGACCTTGAAACGCCATAGAATTGTGGCTATAAACATGGCTACAGCCTGTATCTCCGCCATGAGGCTGGAAAGCTAAGGAATGGACTGGATCTAGCTGGCAAAGCCACGGCTTTAATCCTACTCATATTGCTCAGTAATTTAAAGGCTCGTGTGGTCAGAAAAAGAGAGATATACAGTAAAGAGATTCAAAGATAAAGAAAATGTTTAAATGATTTACAGTGTGTTAAAAATATATGCAAGCTAAAAGTTAAAAGTTTTTAAAAAAAAAGTAAGAAAAAGAGAAGTTGTGTGTGGTAGTACACGCCTTTAATCCCAACACTTGGGAGGCAGAGGGAGATTGACCTCTGTGACTTCAAGGTGTGGTAGCACACGCCTTTAATCCCAGTGCCTAGAAGGCAGAGACAAACAGATCTCTGTGAGTTCAAGGTGTGGTAGCAAACACCTTTAATCCCAATGCCTGGGAGGCAGAGACAGGCGGATCTCTGAGAGTTCAAGGAGAGCCTGGTCTACAGAGTTATTCCAGGTCAAAGAGATACAGAGAATATAAAATAAAAGTAAAAATAAACGAAATAGAGGTTAAAATAAAGCGTACAAAGATGGAAAATACACAGAGAATCTTGATACTGTATACTATTATGCTCTCTTTGAATTGTTTGAATGCTGAGGAAGGAGCAACAGATGCTAAAAGATATTTGTTTATAAATGCTGCTGAACTAATCCATCGTAGAGATTTTGATGCCTTGACTTTGAAATTTGGATCTAAGGACATGATACTTTGGAAAGGAGTTTCTTATTTTGTTTTCACAGAGGATGAGACCCTGTTCATTTCTTCTATTCCGATATGGTATGATGGACCACGCCCTCCTGAACGGTTGCTGTGAATACCTTCAGAAAATTGCTTCGCTCAACTGCCAACTGAGATGAAACTAGCACACAGGTTATACCATGAAAGACCTAATTAACGACGCCCCCATTCAGCAGGAAGCAGTTTGGAGAGAAAAAACTGCGCCCATGTTCCCAAATATTGTTTATAAATGTTCTTTTACATTTAAAGGGGGAGATGATATAGGTATGAATAATTTACATTGATATGGATTTTGCTTTAGTGATTTAAATTTAAGGTTAATTTTGTAATGTATATAGGTTGTTAATGAATAATCATTAATAATAGTTAAGTTTGTAGTCATGTTAGTTAAGATTTTCTAGATGTGCATAGATATATTTTAGATAGGCATTCTTCATATTTTTCAAAGATTATAGAATATGGCATTTTAAATGTTTTAATAACTTAGGACTTTTCATGACAATGAGACACTCTGCTCCTGGCAGCACCAATCTACTTCAAGAGGAAGATGGGCATCGAAGAGGATCCTTATGGAGTTTGATAGCCATTTGGGCAAGAAACTGCTCTTGCCTGGACTATTGCATAAACTGGACACAGAGAACCCGCAGAGAGAGGACTGCTGAACTTGCCTAAAGGTGAGATGATCTTTCGGGGTTCCTGATTCATGAAAGAGTCTGCAAGACATTCTTCAGGACAAGCAGATAGTGACTGCCTTTGAAATTTCCTGCTTTGTGGAAATGTCTGCTGGAAACTATGGGCCTGTAGGCCGAAGATGGATGCCCCAACGGTACAGAGGAACTTTGGGTGACTGTCCAGGCAGCGAGATGTCTCTGTCATTTCTAGAGTTTGAAAGTTGCTTATTTCTTGTTTGCTTAGGTAATATTGTATCTTTCTGGACTCTTTGATGGAGTTAAAAATAGTTAGCTATAGTTATAGTTTTCCTTAGTTATGATATAGATTATTGTAATTTTTACTTGATAACTGTTTTGTTATATGTAATTTTGCTATGTAAAGTTAAAGCCTTCTTTTTTTTTTTGTTTAAACAGAAAAAGGGGAAGTAATGTGGGAGTGTCATATATCAATCTGTTGATTTCATTGGTTAAGTTATAATAAACCAGCTGCTTGGCCTCATGGCTTGGAACATAGATGGGAGGAGTAAACAGAATAGAATTCTGGGCGGAAGAGGAAGTGAGGTCAGACTCTGCTCTGCTTCCAGAGAGACTCAACAGCTCTGCTCTCTGGAGCAGAGACACCAGGATGGATGGAGGCTAGACTCTTCCCGGTAAGCACACCTTGGGGTGCTTACACACATCATTAGAAAAGGGCTAGTCCAGGTGCGAGAATTAGCCAGTAAGGGCTAGAGTTCATGGGCCAAGCAGTTCTTAAATGAAAAAAAAAAAAAAATTAGCTGTTCTGGAGCTAGAATGGCTGACACTTACCAAGCAAGTCTTCAGCTTTCCTTATGCTTTTAAGTGGCTTTAGATCTAAATATGATTTCATAAAGTCACCAATATGTTATAATCAAGCTACACTGTGGTGTAGTTTTTAAATTCTTTAAAACTTTGTTCTTGGGCATAAGAGTCCTTCGTCAAGGACATGGAGATGCTAGAGAGGAAAAGGTCTCACTGAAAGTCCACACTATACAACAGACTAGCTTCCTAGTTACAGCTCTTTTATACAGTTTCAACTTTCTTTTGTTTGAAGGGTTCTTTAGTGATAAGAAGACTAAACTTTTAAAATACTAATAAATATTTTATAAATGACCTGTGTAGCTATGGTCGACACACTATGCTGACAGGGGGCAATTCTGTGGACAGATTCCAGGATTATTGCTCTCAGGATTCCTGAAGGCACAGAGGTTAAAAGCTACTCGTGGCTTGTCTAACAGCAACAGAGCTTAACTCTCTTACTTGCTTATCAAACTCAAGTATTAAATTCAGTTGAATTCATCATTTACCTTTATATTTCACAGATCATCTTTTAAAATCAACAAAAATCTTATATATTTACCAAATATTATATTTTTAAAATTATTTTTATTATTTGTTTGTTGTTTGTATGTGTGTGTGTGTGTTTGTGTTGCTTTTTGTTTTTTGAGACACAGTCTCACTGTGTAGCCCAGGCTGGCCTAAAATTCAGTAAGGCCCCTTCTTCAGCCTACCAAGAGCTGGGATCACAGGTATGTGCTACCATGCCCAGCCTCTTCAGATTTGTCTCTGAAATTGGATAATTCCTGAAAAAAATTGGGTTAAATTAGTAGCTCTAACAAAGGCAATACATTAGAGGTGTAGAAATGTGTAGCTTCTAAAAGGGGCAACTAAATATATTATCTTACATTCTCTGTTTTTTCCTTCTAATTCATTAATTCATTTTGTCATGAATACATTAGCACTGCATTAAAAAACAAAACATAAAAACAAGAGAAACTTAAGCAATATACACATGCAAATATGTTTCTTCAAGGAAGCAAAAGTAACACGACAAGAGAAAGCTGGTAAACTTCAGAGGGAGCAGCTCATTGCTGGAGAAACTGAACCCAGAGTTCCGTCTATTGTACCCACTGACCATATCCTTAGCAACGCAGGACAGATGCACCCTTTCACAAGTCACTGGTCTAAGTTCCCCATCAGTGACATTTCAAATCACAGGCTCAGAACATCCTCAGCTGTTCCATCTGAAAGTGCCACAGTGTGGTGTTTGCCATCTGTGGCAATTATGTATCCATGCCCGAAGAGGGAACCGACAGCAGCAAAGCCTTTCCTTAGCTTCCAGGTAATTCCTCGGAAATGATGAGGACCTTCTGCCCCCGGTTCTTGTAAACAAAGCATGTCCACCACCTGACAACAGGAGATGGACTATCTATCCTTAACTAAAATTTTAAAATATTTTGCATTAAATATGGTAAAATCAAATCAGGCAGTGAAAATGCTTTCCTTTTCATTTCTGTCAATGGTTAATATCTCTAAGGAGAAAGTAAAATAACCTTAAGTTAGGCAGAAAACTAGTCTAAATAAAAATATGAAGTAACCCTTATGCAGTTCATAGTATTCTATCTTAAATGAAAATACATTTAGACACTCTCATAGAATGCTTGTAAAAACATAATCTTGAGACACTTCAAATGTTTAGAATCATCAACTCTACCTTACCTCTTTACCATTCAGGCTCAGAACATTCAAGGCAGAGCTTCCCTCCAAAAATGTTACCCACATTTTATCTTCTACGAATCTTTAAGAAAAAAAAAGTGATATATAAGAATACAATTAAGCTCAATCTCTAGGCACTGGCTCCTAAGGGACAACTGGGGCCAAGAAGAGAACATGGAGCCACTGGGCTGGCACCCAGGGGAGGGCACTCTTCCGACACAGCACTTCCCTCTTGCTTCCTTCCCCTTGAGGAAAACAGGCAGGAGAAGGGGCCTCATTCATGGCGACCCTGTGTTAGAAGCTACATCTCCTGACTCCACAGTGAGGTATTAAGTAAGCATTATCACTGTTTCCATGACTTTCCTTTGACTGAGAAAGGGAATAGGAACTATTAATGAGAAAGAAACTCCAAACAACATGACTAATTGGTCACAAGGAGCTTCAGGTTAGGAGTCTGTCTTTCTCTCTGGGTCTTTGCTATGATTCCAAGTCTATACTTTGGAAACAAGAAATGCCCAAAAGCAGAAAAACGAAACCAAGGAGACATGTTGAAGAGTCACTGGTTATATGATGAGATTCATAACCAAAGAATAAAACAGTGTTTATCTGTCTTATTTACAAAAGCAATTTTGCAAACTGAGCTTCCCCAACTGTATGGAGAAAGCCTTTTTGTCTCACGCTCAGAATCTAAAAGATTATGGATTTTAAAAAAAGAAAAAAAAAAAAAAGGTCAATTCCTTTCTCTAGAGCCAGGTTACTTGCTAATCCCATACTGGCCAGCTCAATCAAGGTATCCCTTTCCTTGCTCTTATCTCTGTCCTTCCTCCATCTCAACTATCCTGTTCCCTCAAGTTCTCCTTGCCCTCCCCTTTCACCCTCCCTTCTCTATGTTCCCAACTTTGTCAGGTGATCCTGTCTATTTCGACTTTCCAGGTGGATCTATATATGTTTTTCTTAGAGTTCACCTTATTACTTAGCTTCTCTAGCAAGGATGAGCCCAGCTAAGACCCTAAGCAATAGAGGAGAGGGTACCCGAACTGGCATTGTCCTAGTCAGACTGATGAATATCTTAAATATCACCACAGAACCTTCATCCAGCAACTGATGGAAACAGAGGCAGAGACCTGCAGCAGAGCTCCCAAAGTCCAGTTGAAGAGTGGGAGGAGTGAGAATATGAACAAAGAGGTCAAGACTATGATGGGTTCACCCACTGAAACAGTCTACCTGAGCTAATGAGAGCTCACCAGCACCAGCTGGAAGGGGAAGGAACAAGCATAGGACCAAACTAGTCCCTCTGAATGTGGCTGGGGCAGACTGAGGGACCACTAGCAGTGGCACCAGGATTTATCGCTACTGTATGTACTGGCTTTTTGGGAACCTATTCTCTTTGGAGGGATGCCTTGCTCAGCCTAGATATAGTAGGGAGGACCTTGGACCTTCCTCAAAGCAATGTACCTTACCCTCTCTGAGGAGTGGAGGGTGGGTGGGGTGAGGGGGGTAGGAGGAAGGAATGGGAAGAGGGGAGGGAGTAGAACTTGGATTGATATGTATAATGAAAAAAGATAGTTTGTTTTCTTTTTTTTTTTAAAAAAAAAAAAGGGAGAAAAGGTCAAAATAAAAGTGTACCAAACTACTGTACTGAAGTCAGGAGCACATGGGATACATCTTATAATCACTCAGACATGACCATAGACATCTGACTCTGCTTCTCTGACAGGAAGTTTTTAAGTTTCAAGAATGTTGTCATTTGTGGTATTCTTACCTAAGTAACTACAAACGGTTGGCCATGGAGGAGCCCCCTGTGAAACTGTTATTAGATGTACCCGTGTCCTGAGTTCCAAATATTATCTGTTCTCTGCTAACTGCACATGACCACAGCTGTAACCTCCACATCCACCTCTACTTTACTTTTAGCATCTGTTTCTCTCTAGCAGTTTGGTATCACTGGTGAAGCCGACATAATATCGTAAGTGTCCAGACACCCCATAGCTTTATATCACAGTAACACCCGGTTTTCTTATCAACACTTTCCCTAATGTTGCCAATACTCTACAGAAAGCTTTTGACTTCACTTCTGAACTAAGAGGAACCCAGGGAATTGGAACGGCACAAGTCTCTCTGTCTCATACCATTTAGACCTTCTAGCTCAAGGCTGCACTTTCCACTTGCTCATGAAGCTACTCCCTGCCCACTCACAGAGTCACAGATGTTTCCAACAGGCTGACATTTCTATACTTGGCAAGGCCTTCCGCCATCTGGAAATCTGGGAGATTTTACTTTCTAGAGCTGTTTTAAGTCTTTTAGAAGCTAACTAACTCATTATTGCTAGGGTATGCATATGGAGTTGGCTGTCTCCGTCCACCCTCACATGGATCCCAGGGATGGACTCAGGTAGTGCCTCTGTTTACCAAGCCAGCTCTCAGGCTCAGATTTGATAAGATTTTGAAGATTTAATACAGATTTCTCTCAAAGGTGTTAGGGGAGGAGTAGGAAAAAAAATCAAAAGATCTGAAGTCTAAACACAATTTCTTTCTGTTTGTCCCTCCGGTCCCTGGAAGGAGCTCGTGTCTCAGGCACGCGTTCCCCTCTGCAGAAACTACCCTATCTTCATTCTATGGACCAGCGACTTTTCCAGTCTAAGCCCGTGCCACATCTTTTCCCTGTCCTCTGCTCTTCTACAGCACCTAGTATGGAGGTTAGAACACAAAGAAAGCACACCCGAGCAGATGGACACCATACAAAGAAATTAACAAGTACTCACTTACATGAAATTCAGTTTCCCCAAACTGGGTGGTTCCGCGGGAAGCCCCTGAGGACGGGGCTGGGGCTGGAACGGACGGCTCCTACAGCTCACCCCTTCTGCTGGCGTTTGTAACAACTTCCAACATCATGTGTCCCTCCAGGTTATTACTTACTAAAGATCCTTATTTACTTCTTCGTTATGTAGTCTGCTGGCTTTCAACTCACTATCCTCCTGCCTCAGCCTCTTGAATGCTGGGGTACAGTCTCTTTACCTTCTCTCTCCTGCAAACACCACATTACTCCCCCAGCTTTGCTCTCTCCCAGAGCTCGCCACAGCGCTGCTGGGGAGGAACCTGACGAGGGCATTCCTGAGCTCAAGCATACCTTTGTCTTCAATTGTTCACGGATTAGCTTCATTATTCGTTTAAGTTTTCTAAGTCGAGAACTTACTTTGAAAACCTAGGAGCTCTTGAATAACACCCCAAGTATAGCCCTTTCATTCGGAAATGTCCCACTTACACACGGTCAGTCACTAGATTAGGGTTTGCAGTGTGGTCAGACGCCTCACTCACCTAATGAGTATGACTTCACCAAAATGTGCAAACTGCTGCAGAAGCTCATCAATCAAAGCATCATCAAAAAAAGTGTTTTCTTGTGCAGAACTTTTGATCGAGACCAGCACTGTGCCATCTGGTGGCCCCTGGACAGCAATGACTTCTTTATAAATTTTTTGTCTCTCTTCAGCTTCAACTTCAAATATATCTATATCAATCAGGGCGACGACAGGCCTGCAGACACAGAGGGAGAGATGCATTAGAGATGCTCCTGAAGGAATTTATTTCAAACAGACTTCAAGCATCATTAAAAGCCGAGGCTGTAAACCTATGGTCAGAAGTCTTCAGCTCCGCTCTCCCGTAGTGCAGCAAAGTGCCAGGGGTCCACGTGTAAAGGATTTTGCTTTCATCTTGGAAACTGGCATTCAGGAGATCCAAGTCTTCAGCTGTGACCAGAACAAAAGAAAATCAAGAGAAGCCACATGAACAGGAGCGGTAGTAGGACACAATGAGCTCTCACTTCCTAGTCCAGTCTGCTGCAGTCTGAGGCTAACGTGCCAAACCCTGGAAGAAGGGAGTCCAGAGAGGTCTTTAGGGATGTATTTGTCACGTTATTTTCTTCTTCACTTGGGAGAAACCTCAATGTTGCTCACTTCTAAGATTACTTGGGACCTGGGACCAAACACTGTTTCATAAAAGTTCAATAGCCAAGCATAATTCAAAACCTTCAATTTCAGAATTGCAATCAGAAATTTTACAAAATAAATGTTTCTTCATTTCGCTTTACATGAAATTATGTCACTGAAAAAATAGGCATGAAATGCTTTTAAAATGTTTATTCTATGCTAGAAAACCTTTGTATAAAAAGCTCTTATTGTTGATCAGTGTTTCTCACCCTGCCCCTCACAAATTCACATGAATTTCCCTATGTAAGCAGCTCCTTACCTGATCTGTCAAAAGGCCACTTTCTCCTCCTCCAGAGGACTCGGTCTGTCCACGCAGGCGTGCGGCACTTCTCACTGGTGTCATAGTCTTCAGAAAACAAGTCATATTTATAGGTTGGAGCAAATGTCACCTTTCCCTCTAAAAATCCTCTGAAAATCTAAAATAAACACACACAAATTTATTCCAAAACATATAAATGTTCACGTTTTTACTCAGAAGTTTAAAAAATTTCTTCATTTTGGAGGCTCCATGTATGTAATGAAATCCGACCATATTCACCCTCTATTTCTCCCCTCCAACTCTCCCCCATTCCTCTCAACACCACATATTCTTCTTCTTTTGATGACTCACTAACTCCAATTAGTGTTATACATATGTGCATGGGGGTGGAGCCATCCATAGAGCAGTGGCTCTCAACCTTCGGAATGCTGCGGCCCTTTAATACAGTTCCTCATGTTGTGGCGACCCTAACCATGAATTTTTTTTTTTTTTTTTTTTTTTTTTTTTTTTTTTTTAATTTTTCGAGACAGGGTTTCTCTGTAGCTTTGGAACTAGCTCTTGTAGACCAGGCTGGCCTCAAACTCACAGAGATCCACCTGCCTCTGCCTCCCGAGTGCTGGGATTAAAGGCGTGCGCCACCACCACCCGGCCATGAAATTATTTTTGCTGCTACTTTATAACTGTAATTTTGCTACTGTTATAAATCATAATGTAAATATATGAGTTTACATTATGGAAATATGTAAGCAGCATCAAGGCTGAGAGCAACCTAAGTCTGTTGGTACTGGGAATTGACCTGACTAAGATGTCTGTATGTCTGCACGTGTGTGCAGGTGTCCATGGAGCCAGAATTGGGCTTTGTACCAGGGTCATCTGATAGAACAGCAAGATTTCTTAACCACCGAGCCATCTCTCTAGTCTTACACTTTTATTTTTATGTGTTGAATAGTCGCCTACAAAGTATCTTTCCAGTGAAAAATTCTAACAGAACTGAGTAACAACAACAGCCCCCAACCCTAGCATGTGACCTTTTTGCTATCACTTAGCCTTCCATTAATCATTCCCTAAAAATTTTAAGCCTTCTGTTTGAGAGCACAGCTTATAAACACATGGATGGATTTTTCTTCCTAGGAATAATTATATACTTTTTAAAAATTTTCTCTTCCCCCTGCTTTCTTATTTCTAATCTTTCATTCTTTCAAGAAAAAAATAATTCTGTGTGTTTAGCCACAGGTACAGTTCCCAATAAACACAGAAACAGAGTAAGAAATGTTTGTCAAAATTCATAGTCTTTTACAATTTTTATTTATTGCATGCTTGTAATTTTGTGTGTATGTTGAGTGAGCAGGGCATGTGTGCACAGGACACATGTGGAGCTGGCTCTCGCCCTCACTCACTGAGACAGGACTTGTCTTGGTGTCCGGTGCAGTATACCCCAGGCTGGCTGTTCCAGAAGCTTCTGCAACTGGCTGATTCTCTCGTATCTACCTCCTATCTGCCCGCGGTTACAGGTGCATGCCACTGCACCAGGGTTTTCACCTGGGGCTTTGCGTGTAGGTTCTGGAGAGCAAATCTGGATCTTCAGGATTACATGGAAAGTGATTTAAACCCCCAACCCATCTCTCTGGCCCCCCAATCTTTTTACTTTCTTTCTTTTTATTTAAGAAGAAAATCTTACATTTCTTTTTATTTCTGTGCATCTGTTTATGCCTACCTTTCTACTTGTACACCATGTAATGGGCAGCTGCCTGCCTGCAAAGGCCAGAAGAGAACATTGGACAATTACAAGTGGTGTGAGCTCTCAGTGTGTGGGCACTAGGTACTGTCTGCAAGGGCAGAAGTTCACATAGCTGCTGAGCCATCTCTTGAGTCTTCCAAAAGTCCCCTTTGTAACACAACCATCTCCCCAGTATGTTCTTACCTGCCCCGCATTTTTCTGATTGATGAGTTGATCCCCAGCTATAAGAGAATCCCAATTTTGCTGTCTTATGAGCTCTTTAACTTCTTCATTAGGAAGATCAATTCGATAGTTGAAATCACCACACCAAAATACATAGTCATGGGAAAATAGCATCCTTCCCTGGAAACACAAGACGGCACTTGAAGTTCAAAACAACATTTTAATGTGTTCACATTATTGCTTTGCTTCAGATGTGCCTGCCACTATCACCACTGTTTCTTGAGCCAATAGTAATAAGACAAGTAGATGGGCACTGCTGAAGTTTCTGAGAACTGCTTTAAATCTTCAGAACTGGTGACATAAAATGTAGGGTAAATTAAAATAGAATCCAAAGGTTTATCTTAAAGAAGAAACAGTAGAAGCTTACCATGGGAAAACTCAATTTCCGTGCTATTTCTACAAAATCTTCATTTCTCTCTTTGACTTGAGACTGCCCTGCAGCAAAGTGGCTGCAGACGAAGCACAGGCTGGTGGTGTGAAAGAGCATGCGGATCGCAACTGCTCCCTTATTTCCAGTTGCGCCTCCCATTCCCGTCTTCACTGTATCCACCGCAACGTCCCTTTAAAACATAATTACAATGAAAGAGATATCACACACTCTAGGGCTGTCCTGTCATTCAGTTAGAAAAGCCACAGCCAAGTGTCTGTTACTAACCTGATAAAAGGAGCATGCTGTGGTCTGATAAAAACAAACAGGCAGACACCCACCAGCTGCTCCGAAGCCAGCAGGACGTACTTGTTGTCTCTGGAGATGGTCTTCTGCAGCTCCACTGCCCACAGCTTCTGGTTTGTTGTGCTACCCAAGTATCAAAGAGGAAATCTTTAGGAAGATGCCACACTTTTATACATCTGATTTCTTAAAAAGAAGAAAATCTCATGCATGTTTTGCTTCCATTAAAAAGAAAAATCTGAAGCTTAACCAAAATAATATAGCATTTCAAAATCTACTGAAGAACTCCTCTATGAGGAGAGCTGGCTTACCATGTAAAGGTGCCACTGCCAACCCTGATGACCTGAGTTCAATCCCCATGACTTTTGGGGAAGGAGGACTGACCCTGAAGTTACCCTCTGACCTCTGCATGTACGCCACTGCACATGTGTGCCTTTGCGCGCACACACACACAACACACAGATGCTAAAATGAAAGAAAAAACCTACCAAGAAAGAAAACAAAGGAGATAGGAAATGACACTTCCGTCTCGAGTGTTCCTGGGCTCACGGGGATGCAGACCCCTCTCCGCATCACCGCATCTCCCCCAGCTCCAGTTTTCTAGTCATGAATTTAAGTTTATTAATTAACAACTACTCGTGTGTGTAAGAGTATGTCAGTATGTGTAGGCACTCAAAGAGAACAGAGAAAGGATCAGAACTCCTGGAGACAGAGATGCAGGCTGTTGTGAGCCACCCTATGTGGGTGCTGGAAACTGAACTCTGTTTTTCTGGAAGAACAGCAAAAAATCTTAACTGATAACTTATCTTTCCAGTCCCTTAAGCTAATTTAAAAAAAAATTTTTTTTCAATAATTTGTTATGGAAAACGAGTTTAAAAACCTGAAATAGGTAACTGTAAAGTCACAATATACCCAATTATTTAGCTTCAAAATCTCTCTCTCCCTCCCTCTTTCTTATAAACCTGGGATATTGTAGACCAAATCTAAGATTACACCATTTCACTCATAACTTTTTTATCTTAAATACAATGAACATTTTTATCTACATAGCCACAATACCATCATCAATTTAAATAGTAACACTTCCTTAATATCCCTTAACACTCAGCTAGTATTTAAACTTCCCTTGTTTCCTAATAATGAAAGTCTTTCCATTACTTGTTTCTTAGAACAGGACAAATATGGTTTCTACAATGCATTATGGTCAGACCTCTCACCCGCTCTTAGTCCTCCAATGTCCTTGTCACTTTGCTTTTATAATGGCAACCAAAAACAAAAACAAAACAAAAAACAACAACAACAACCAGACCACTAGTCTATAAAATGACAGCTGTCTACATGTGGCTAAGGTGTTCTTGTGATGTAAGGTGTTCTTACCTTGTCTCTTTATATTTCTTTATGTTGACTGGTATAGGAATGTGATTAAACAACTGGCTATTTATTGGCCCAAAACTTGCATTTTTAAGTAAAGGCTAAGAATTTTGTAAAATTTGTATTTAGCTACTGTGATCTTTGCAGTTTCTAAATATTTAAAGATTTTGTTGAATTGATGATCCCAACCAAAACAGTACATTCATACCAGACAAATGTATCCGAATTAGAAGACCAGAAGACCTATATAGTCAGTAAGCTTTTGTGAATGACCAGCACGCAGTGTTATACGATCACGCCATGGTAAAGACCAGCTGGCGTTAGTACAGTGACAACACAAGCAGCCCACTCATCAGTGCGGGAGCGGTGGCTCACAGTTAAGAGGACCGGCGACTCCTGCAAGTACCCATGTGCAGTTCCCAGCACCCAGAGGGTGGCTCACAACCATTTGTAACTTCAGTTTTATGAGACGCTGATGCCTTCTTCTGACCTCTTGCAGTCAGTGTCTGCACGAGGGACACTTACATACATGCAGGCTAAACATTCATACACATACAGATGACTGTATCTTTTTTTAAAGTTCACAACAAGGTTTCAAGGTTGCCAGGTAACCTTTAACTACCACTTGTTGAGTTTCTATGTAGTACCTGGCAGAGGAGACATTTTCTAGAAAGGTTATTAAAGTGTTTTATCCAACTATATATGTAGTTTTTCTTCACATAATTCTCTCGGAACAATAGTGCAGTACAATATGGAAGTACATGAAGAAGTATATGGTACTCACCCAGTTATCTTAATGCAGATATTAAGCAATTAGTAAAAAACCAATAAAACAATGCCGTGCTTCCCAGTAAACTTTGGATTTGGAAATGTTAAGAAGAAAAAACATTTATTTTAACTATAATGGAATCTTGGAATCTCTATTGTTACTGTATTCATTTTACAAGTTATTTCTTTGTGTGTATGTGTATGTACAAAGGCATGCACACTACAGTACACACGTGGAGATCAAAAGACAACTTTGTAGATTTGGTCTCTCTCCTTTTTTTTTTTTTTTTTTTTTTTTTTTTGAGGGGGACAGGACAGTTCAAGACAGGGTTTCACAGTAGCTTTGGAGCCTATCCTGGAACTGGCTCTGTAGACCAGGCTGGCCTTGAACTCACAGAGATCTACCTGCCTCTGCCTCCAAGTGCTGGGATTAAAGATGTGTGCTACTCCCCAGCTCCTTCTACTTTTTTTTTTTAAAAAGATTTTATTTATTTATTATGTATACCACATTCCTTCCTTGCAGGCCAGAAGAGCACCAGATCTCATTATAGATGGCCGTGAGCCACCATGTGGTTGCTGGGAATTGAACTCAGGACCTCTGGAAGAGCAGCCAGTGCTCTTAACCTCTGAGCCATCTCTCCAGCCCCTCCTTCTACTTTTTATATTGGTTTCAGGGATCAAACTCAGGCCGTCAGATTTGGAGAAAAGCCATCTTGTCTGCTCCTATTGTTTTTAAAATAAGTATAATTTTCAGTCTTAATTTCTAATATAGTATCAATTTAGGTTTAGAAAGATTCCCATACTACAAGGTCGTTTGCACGTTTCCTCAATGGCAGCACTATAGTGACAACCCCTTACCTGTCCTCCAGTGCCTTCATCAGCTAGCTTACCTTGCATTCACAATGTTCCCAGCATTCAACTCAACCATTTCTTCAAAGCCAATTGCAAATATATCAGTTGGTTTACTTCTTTTATCTATAATTAAGGATCCGAAAATACCTTTAAATATAGCATTGGTCAAATAGCAACCTCACCCATTAAAACACAATCTCAGGTGACATAAAAATCTCTTTGTAGCTGGGCGGTGGTGGCACTGGACTTTAATCCCAGCACTTGGGAGGCAGAGGCAGGTGGATCTCTGTGAGTCCAAGGCCAGCCTGGTTGGTCTACAAGTTCCAGGACAGCGAGGGCTACACAGAGAAACCCTGTCTCAAAAAAACCATAAAAAACAACATCAAACAAACAACCCCCCCAAAACAAACTCTTTTTGTGTTTTCAATTTAACCAAATTTATATTGAAAACAAAAATTAAGCAGTGAGCTACATTACTTTAAATTTACTTTCTACTAAAATATCTTAAGTCTGTTTAAGATTACTTTAACGATCCTTACGAACTAAATAAAATCCCTTAAAAATAAGATATGTAGCACTGTAAACAGGAATGGCCACTTCTCAGAGGCTGAGGGAATCAATCCTGCAGTTAAAGGAATCACTCTAAACAGTGACTCAAGACTGCAGCTATCAACTGGCTGGGACTATGTGCAAGACTCAAACCCTTGACTTCTCACCATCACACAACACGGGGTAAAGCAGAGTTCTTGCCCTTTGCTACAGATGGGGAACAGGAGCTTTACGGGAGCTAGAAACTTGCCAGAGACCACACATATGATGCAGCCTGACATACAGTCGCTGGGATCCAAAGGACAGAACTCAGCTCCAGACTCTGGCACACTGGCTGCCAAGATCTTTCTGGATTTAAGGCTCTTCCTCCATGAAACTGGAATAACAGCCTCATTGTAATGGGTCTGCTATAAAAATGTGAAAACCATAACTATTATAATGGTTTTATGATTATTCTATTTCTTGGATTAATGTAACTGAAAAGGGCCTAATTTTAATAAAATATCTGGGGGAAATTCCAAAAGCTAAGACATGATTGATTAAAAATTACTTAAAAAGGAAACTTTCCAAGGCATACAATTTCCTGCACGCAGCACCTTCATGTTGGGATTATATACTATTTTAAAGGAAGTTTGAGCTGATTCTCCAGTTCCCGTTTCTAATGACCATCGTGATGTGGAAGGTTCTGCTGTGGACACTTGGTGAGAGTATCTTTAATTTATTCCTTATGTGCCTGTGTGGGCGCATGCGCATCATGTCTGTGCAGATCCCCATGATGAAAGAGCAGTACACCCCTTTCTTTCTGAACTACCTCTCCAGGCCCCTTCTCCAACCAAGTTATTACAATTTCTATAAAATTGCTCATGACCCACCCTGGAAAATGGAGCATTCCGGACTTTAAAAATAAAATACTAAACTATCAACTACAAAATAATCCTGGTTCTTGTCTGCTCAAATACAAACAGAAGTAGTTTCTCTTGCATGTGTGCTGCCCTCAAAGGCGTCTATTTATACATGAATCCTGATTTTCTGAGAAACTGGCCAAAAAAAAAATTTCAAATTTTCTATTACTTTTATTTTACTGTGTAGTCCAGGCTTGCCTAGAGCTTCGGGCAATCCTGTCCCTGTCTCAGAAGACTGGATTACAGGTGTAAGCCCCCAAGCCCAGCGCCACCACTGTTTATTCACTAAGTAGAGAATATCTAGAAATAACAGCTCAGGTAAAATTTCCCAAGATTTAACCTAAGAAATGCTGGCTTTCAAACTAACAAAAGAAGCCCAAGTTTCTTTGCTAAATTAGTGAAGTGTCACACTGCAGTTAGGACTTTATTAAATCCCTGATATAAAAATCCAACCTTGAAACTCCTGGATGCCAGCTAACTTGGGAGCATCAAGAAGCCAGTCCGTGAGCGTCTGGTTCTTAAATGCTATGCTGCGGAACTGCTTCCCACCATTCACGTTCCAGGTTCCAACACACACTCGAATCTTCTTGGGTTTTGAGTATTTGTAGAAGTTCTCACACATGTTCTTTAAGACTTTAGAAGATGCTAATCAAAAATAAGATGCAAGAGAATGTTAGCTGCAGTAAACCAATTGCAAGGGTGTTATTCATTAATAGATGATATCTGGAAAATACAATTATTGTCACAAGCACAAATAAAGGGCATGCGCAGGCACAAGGAAGAGATCAATCAGCTTTGAATGCCAAGCCCAGCCGGAGGCATTAACCACACTGAGCCAATGAATAAAGACTGAACATAAAAACTACTACAGAATGACTTTAGTAACATAAAGCATGCAGGAGAAACAGTTCTGGTTCAATGGTATGCAGTTTTATAATACATAAAGCCTAAAAGCCATATTTTTTAGGAATACAGCAACTGACTTATAAGACAATTTTATTAAGAGTATGGTAAAAATATAAATGTTGTTTTTCCCTAAACAAAGACACTTAAAACCATCTACATTTAAGATTCACATTACTGACAGGAGGCTTGATGAACAGTGGCTCCCTCACGAAAATGAGTATTAGGGAAGAAAATGAGATGCTGAAATGAAATCACTACCGAATGCAAATGCTGCCCACCTTGCTGAGAGCTCAAGTGCTTAGCAGTGACCTGCAGGGGGGCTCTGCTCTTTCTGTCCCCATCTTTGACCATTCTGCTCACTAACCACTCAGGCGTGCTTTCTTATCAGGCGTGACAAAGCAGCCAGACTGCACTTCCCACAGCCTGCAATGGCCATTCCTTCCTTCTTCAGCTCTTTAAATGTTCAACAAGCTCCTCTGATCCTCTTAGTTAAAACTGTACTATGCCTTCGGGGACCACTGTCCACCCTTGCTTATTTTCACATAATCTTCCATATTTTACCAAATAATATCACTTCAGTATGTTAGCTATTATTTTATGATATCCAAAACTAACAGTACTCTGAGCAACTGGGACTGGGAAAGGTAAAACGTCAGTATCGTGAACATAGTCTTGACCTCTGAGTCCCTGGAAGGAACTGAAGATTTGTTTGGATGGTAACCATGTCTGCATTGTTGTGGGACAGCTGTACACTGTGTGAAGATATATTGCTGTGACTGGTTTAATAAAGAGCTGAACAGCCAATAGCTAGGTCGGAGGTATAGGCAGGACTTCTGGGCAGAAAGAGAAAGAGGAGGAATCTAGGTGCTCAGAAGCAAAAGGCACGAAGGAAGTAGGATGGGTAGTAAGGAGATAAGGTAACGAGCCACTAGGCAAAACATAGATTAATATAAATGAGTTAATTTAAGTTAAAGAGATCGTGGAACAAGCCTGAGATAAGGCTGAGCTTTCATAATAAGTCTCCATGTCATTATTTGGGAACCAGCTGGTGGGGCAGAGAAAGACTCCTTACACCCACTGTCTTGAGAGAAGATGTGTACATTTCTAAACCTCTTCCTATCTGGTTTGATTATTTATAGAGGTGACTGGGTGATGATAAAAGCAGGTCATTTTTTTTTCTGTTCTGTCAATACAGCTACCATTTCCATATTATTATGGATATCACTGAATTTTAAACTAAAGTCACTGTCACTGTGAAAACCCCATTAAAATCCACTCAATGCCAAGATGTCAATTCTGTGATTATACAGCTTAAAATTGAGCAAAACAGTAACGACATGTGAATAAAGCCAGGCTGCCATCTTGCTTGAACTAACAAGGTCGAATCACTTTATAAATAGAGTAAGAAGATAAAGCATAATCCTAGTTTATCCTTAACATGTTCTGGCACCTTAATGTGCTTAAAGAAATGAGTCTGCTAAAGCCACAGATGTCTGTCTCTAACACCATACCCTTACAGAAGTGAAGCTCACCATAACCCAGAGCCTGTGCTCCCTCCCACTTTCCTTTAAAACAAACAAGCAGCAGTTTCTCAGAAGAGCCACAATGGTAACCAGGCAAAACACCCTAGGAAGGGGAAGAGAAGACACTATTTCAGCTAAATTTCTGGAAAGACTTTTGCTTTGTCCTGTTTGCTACAGATCCACCTTTAAAGATAAGACCATAAGTCACAGAGAATGAAGAGATGAAATTCCTATGAACACAGGCAAGGAAAAGGGGAACTGCCTTAGGCACTACCAATGCACCTGCTCTGACTTGGCGCACAGCACTGATGCTGGCTAAAGTGAACAGGTCTCAGATTTCATCTTAGTGCAGGTCTGTAGTTAGAGAAAACAAGCCATCCACAAAGCAAGAGAACGAATGCTGAGAGGTTATAAACAGCACGCGCACTATCTGAACCAATGCAAAGCAGTCCAGTTCAGAACTGGTCCTGCAGTCTCTGAAGAGCAGGGTCTAATGAGAACGTTCACGGAAATATAAAGTGATTTAATCTAGCTGAATTTGCTTTCATTGCCGTAAGCCTGTGATGCAGAAGGACAAAATATCCTGGACATTTCTTCCTGAATAAAGTACTTAATTTCTGCCCATTTAAATTTTTTACTCAGAGTAAAACAAAACATTAATTTATCCTGTAATATCATGAAGATAAAATTATATCTGTATGTGCACATTAGCTTTAGAAAAATAAAGGTTGCTTTTATTTATACATTGATTTTTCTATACTGTACCTGACTGTAATGTCTGTTCAGAAACTATGGATGCATCAAGAAGAAAACAAAAAGTCATTAGTAAAACAACAAGTTACATTTAATGCCTGGCGTGTCACCTAAGAAAATCCTGAGATGGCCTTACTCATTTCTTTCACGTTGACAACTTGAATTTGTTTTTTTGAAGCTATAACACCAAACACAATAAATAACAATAGCTGATACAAACCCATGTGTCTGCCCTGACCCAGTGAGGTCCACTGCTTCACAACGTGAAGGTCCTCCTCTTCCAGATGACTGTGTGTGCATATGTGCATGTGGGTATGTGTTTATGGGTATGAAAATCTAAGACATGGAAATGTATGTCTTAATACATAACTTTTAATATTCTTTTTCTGGGACCCACCAGTCGATAAGTACCATCAGTTCAGCTAAAACAAGACAAGTGCGTTCTAAAAGCACCAACTACACTATACAAAACTCTGCAAAGTTCCGTGGCTCTAAAAACTCATGGGAAAATTGGGGTTGGGGGAATCACACATGAAAACATCAAAAGTGACACACCAAAGAAGAACCTAATTTTAAAAGCAGCATAGTATGTATATGTAAAATGGTTATAAAATTCATGACTATAAAATGTAAGGCACTACATCTTTAAAAAATATGAAGTTGGCTTGTAGAAATGGGCATCAGAAGGGCATAACAATTATGAATGGTAGCTGAAGGGTTATTAGAAAATGGATGGGAAGCTGAAATATCAGATGTGGGTGGGTATGGTTCAAAACACATGTTGAACTGCAGAAGGGATATGTTTAAGGTTTGTGCATATGGCTATGTATGTTTTATTTATCTGGACCCATATTGCTTCTGCTGGGTAGTTTTCTGCATTTGCCTGATGTCACTTGCCAGCAAAGTCACGCATAAGCTCATGCAAAATCAGCATCATGTTCACATCATTACCTAATGTGTCAACCACACTGGAACAAGTTCTCAGTCTCACACCGAGCATGGCAGTGGACCGACTACTTTTGAGAGGCACATTACACATGGTGAGATGGGCAGGAACCTAGACACCTGAGGCTTAGCCTGGGGAGTTACTGAGGTTCTTTGCTCCGCCTCTTCCTTCACACACTTCCTTTCAACTGCTGCTTATTAATGCCTCCGCATCAGAGCAGGCACGGCGGAAAGAGGTGACAAACACAATCAGCCAGTCTTGACTGGTGGGAGCCAGGAAGAAGTCAAGTCTGAAGTTCAAAGACGTAGTGAGCATCAGACTTTTAGCTTTGAGTAGGTCCCAGCCCCATGCTGCTCATCCATTCCTGAGAAGCTGCCTGTCATGAAATCTGACAGTCCACGACCACCCATAGGGACAGTCCCAAGAGGACATTACCGGAAATTCCATGTAAACTATAGGAAATTTCCCATGTGGAGACTGTGTGTTGCAAGGTTTGGGGCTAAAAAGAACAGAACTAGGAATCTAATTCAATTTGTCAACTACTCCTCAATAAAGCTGGCAAGGGGCAGGAGGTCTCGCCCATTACATGCACAAGGAATGTTGAATTTCCTCATAATACTGCTTTTAGGTACTCATTAACATGAAAAGTTCACGTCTTCTGACATTAGTAAAAAAATATACAACAAAAGGGAAAAAGCCACTATGGGGAAAAAGGCTACTTTGAAGGCTATATATTTATGTCAAATATTAAGACAGAAAATAGCAGTTAGTGGCTACTGCTTTAAACTGTTACTATGACGTAAGCTGATTCAGACAATAACAACCAAAGTTAGGCTGTGGTTACAGAAATATCTGTGGTGTTCATGAAAAATTAACCAATACAGACAAAGGGTTGTCTCAGTAAAGCCCTGCCTATGTAACTGGGTTACTGAATGCTCTACGTGCTAGCTTTTAGTCTATAGAAGCCTGCCTTGTGTCGTTAGCAGCACATACAGCACAAAAAGCCCCAGTTATAATCTGCAAAAGAAAGTACACACAGTGTTCAGAAAAAAAACAAAAACAAAACAAAAAAATCCAGCCAGTTTGTGGCTAAGTATCATTGATAGCATTAACACGTGACAAGAGAAAATCTTAACTAGAGAATGCTAATTCAAAAAAACACTTGTACAGAAATTCCTTCCAAAATAATTTCAAGTAACTCAATGCCAGCCTAAAAACTTCTCATGTCAGTAAGCTTAGATTTACTTTTGGCCATTTTAGGAGTATAAACGAAGTAAGTAAAGTATTAAGTGGCATACCACGCAAACTTCCAGTGGTTAGGAGGGCTCGGGCTTTGTCAGCTAAGTCACTGTTCAGAGTATTTCCGAGCAGCAAGACATCAATAGCTTCTTGCTTGGAGCTGTCGAAGAAGTTATTCTGAATGGTTCTGGTGACAGAGCGCGCACCATCTTTTAACTTTCCAGCCTGTGTGGAAAAAAGTAGCATGGGCCCTTGCTCAAGATACTGCTGATTTTACCCAATGTATATTTTGCAATTTTAAATTGATTCCATAAAATTCTAGTATTTTATCTTTTAAATAACTTCTTTTAAATCTATAACTACATTAAAAAGCTTTAAAATGTAACTGTTCCCTCATAGTTTGCACAAAGAAAATAATAAACTAACCACTATAGCCCATCTAGTAATATATTGAGCAGTAAATACATCATCACATATTTATTTGAATTAAGACGATTCCTTTCTACATCGTAACTTTTAAATGTTACCATGGGCTAGATGAGAAAAGGCAGGAGGGAAAAAGAATGATATACCGAACTCAACTCCTAGAAAACCTTCTAAGTGCTTTGATGCATAAAAGTGAAATTGCTCCCCAAAAATTAAAGGCTAGTTAAAAACAAAACTGAACCTAAAATCGAAGGTCTAGTTAAATAATTTATTTTATTTTAATTTTTTAATATTTATTTATTATGTATACAATATTCTGTCTGTGTGTATGCCTGCAGGCCAGAAGAGGGCACCAGACCTCATTACAGATGGTTGTGAGCCACCATGTGGTTGCTAGGAATTGAACTCAGGACCTTTGGAAGAGCAGCCAGTGCTCTTAACCTCTGAGCCATCTCTCCAGCCCAGTTAAATAATTTTTTACATTTCATAAATATAAATATAAATACATAAATTTTAGTTCATATATTAAAGACATTGTGTTGCCTATACAAATAAATCTAAAAAATAAATACCTATTCCAATACTGAGAGGGCTGATCACAACTTTTAATGAACAGGTATTTCACTTAAGCATATTATCAGATAACATTTATTTTAAGCTATAAACTTTTGACTGCCAAAAATAATTTTGGTTTGTAATGTATTATTTTCTTTCATCCCTTCAAAAAATAGTAATTACAGGCTGCTTTTCAAAATAAGGAGACAATTTCTAATTGCCTCTAAATGCAATATGGCATGAAATCATTTTTGTCATGTAATATATAAAACGATGCTATCGAAGAAAGAACACTCACCATTCACATTATCAGCAATTAATCAAAAGGAGCCAAGAGAAAGGAAAAGAAAGAGCAGTTCAGGTGTTAGATTTTAGCTCAATTCAGACTAGTATATTTAACATTAATATATAAAGATTTTGTATCTATATATTATGGTAAAGATAAGAATACTGAAAATATGTGCAACTTCTGCACATATACAGTCCTAGTCACAGCAGAAACACGGCAGAAGCACAAAGAAGAATATTTTAGAGCGACAGTTGAGAATTGGGTTTTAATAATAAGAAATATGCTATTTAAAAGGAATAAATGAAAAACCAAGCAATTTCAGGTTTTCAAAAGAAAGCGGTGTTTAGGGGCGAGGGTCTGTAGCATTGCTGAGGGATGAAGGTGAGGCCAGTACTTGCAGCAGAGGCAGACTGAACATAAAGACTTGAGATGATGAACAGTCTTCATGGAACCTCAGCTGCTATGCTGCTGCTCGTGAGGCCATTAACACAGCTAACATTTTCTCTTCTGGTTGACTGTTTTGGTGGTTTGTTTTGTTTTGTTTTAAACTGGGTTTTGTCAGGCCTGCTACTCAATGTATAGCCTAGGTTGGTCTTGAACTTGCTACAATCCTCTCTCAACCTTTCTAATCCTGGGATTATAGGTATGAAACACCATGCCTAGCTAAATGTTCTCATTTTTATCCAGATATAATTTGAGGAATTGTAGAGATTTCGAATAAATTAAATTAAGGCCAGGGTCCCTTAAAGAGTTAAACAATATTTAAGTACATGGAATCACAAAACGTATTCCAAATATAGCCCCAAATCCTACAACAAAGGCCAAGTACCAGGCAGGAAAGAACCCTGAAGCTAACACACACAGCTACAGTGCTGGTGAGACAGCATCATAAATCAGTTCACATCCCTACCTTTACTGCAATGATAGCTCCCTTTTAAAACACACAAGCAGGAAGTACAAAACTAGCGATTAAGCCCACGTATACCGGGTTCATTACTCTGCTTGCATAAATCGGTGGCAGACTGTATGTCCATCCACTATTTGTGACACACCTCTCAATAGAAGCACGGTGTCAAACACAGGGGACACAGACTGGTGAGACAGGATATTTTATCAGGACTATGGGTGTTTTTATATACAATGTAATATAAACAATGTAAAAAGAGAGATGCACAATCATAAGTCATATAAAAGTATACACACACATACATCTACAATGGATTACCTCTAAAAGTACACGTAAGCCTGAGGACTAAAGAATTCCCTATGTTGCTTTTAGCCAACATCAGAGTCGACAACCGAGGGAGGGTGTATCAGAAGGGACACAGAAGCGCTAGGAGGCTATCCTAGAACACGCCTGTTAACTTAAAAACCCATCATTTAAAATGTCATTTCAAAACTTTCTAGAGAGGAGAGAGGTGAAACTAATGCTATGACAGCTACGGCTCTACCTTGGCCTTCCCTTCAAGGGCTCCGGTGCCTGCATAGATCTTACTGATGGAATCACCATTCACAGACCACATGGACCGGAAAACCTCTTGGAAGCGAGTGACCAGCTGAGGCTTTTCAGCCAAGCCCAGAGCATCCAGCTGTTTAGTTAGCATCTGAAAGGACAAATGAGAATATTTAAGGTAAATGAATAAATATATTTGCATGTAATTACATTATTTCTATTTAAATGTATATTCACTGTAATGTGACTTTTTACAACTATTAGAATTAAACTTAAAATTTATAAATATAGGACTTTGAAAGTATTAACACCTTATTGGGATATGTTTTCCACCATTTCAATTTTTTTTTTTTTTTTTTTTTTTTTTTTTTTTTTTTTNAGCTTTGCAGCCTGTCCTGGCACTAGCTCTTGTAGACCAGGCTGGCCTAGAACTCCCAGAGATCTGCCTGCCTCTGCCTCCCGAGTGCTGGGATTAAAGGCGTGCGCCACCACTGCCCGGCCACCATTTCAATTTTTAAGGTAAAACTTGTAGTTTTAAGGTAAAATGTCATTTCGGTAGATTCAAAAGAGAATGTGAATTTGGAAATCTGAGAAGTAACGTCCCTCAATTAATCTTGTAGCCATCCCTGCAGTCAGATCGACTTGCCTCCCTCACGGAAATCAAGCTAGTCCCCAGTAGGCAGGAGAGCAGGGAACTACGTCCCGAGTTTACCTGGAAACTCAGGGAATTAAGGGTGGGTGAGCAAGAGAAGCATGGCAGCTTTCCCGTGTGGAGGCAATGCTGATGCCATGTCTACAACAACGGTGGGGAGCCAATGGCACAATTTCAAGGGCCTTTGGGCAACAAACCCTCCACCCTGGAAGGCAATAAAAGCATTCCATAAGCTACTGATCTTTACCTCCGGACTCTAGCCTGGACTTGAGCAGCCGGGAAGCCATGTCTGTTCCTCTGACTGATGCCTGCGTCTACTGAACTCCATCCTATTTGCTTCCTCCATCTCTATTAGGTGTAGCAATTATCTCTAATTACAAAAGATTTAGAAGTATATAAAGCCCTTCAGTGGGCTCATTTGATTATTCGGGCTTATGCAAGAGTTACTCTGTGTTCACACGGGGCATGAAATAGCCCCCAGGGTCTCCTTTATAGGTTAGACCTTTCAGTCTTTGAAGAAGTGGGAAAAACAAAACTTCACTGCATTATTAGTTTGTCTAAGTTAGCAATAAATTTTGTAAGCAGTTAACCAAATGTGATAGTGGGGCACACTCTGACGTCACATTTCCAATAGTGAGATCAGCTAAGATGGACTGGAAATGACGCTTGTAGTTAGGTCTAAGACCTTCACTACGCTTGGGCAGATCCAGTCAACGACAGCCAAGGCTTCGAGCAGACCTAAGACCTCATCTAAATACGACCTGCCTTCTTTCACATCATGTGTCATATTTTAAGAAAAGTAAGATAAATGTCAATGGTTGGTTTCAAAAAAAAGTCAAAACAGTAAAATTTATTTACTTATATAAAACATCTGTGCCCTAGAGAACTTTCTACAACTGGACTTTTACTTGAGACAGAAGCTGAGCTTCTGTAATTAATTAACTAATGCATAGGCCAAACTTAAGACCATTAACCAGAGTCTTTGGAGTGCTTGGAAACCAAGTCCTGATGCAAAGCGAATCCATGGCCTCCTTGTGACCTTGACTTAGTGGGCAGGGGAGACCCAGGAAAGCTTGGCTGTTGTTCCAGTTTACTAAGTAGCTGAGACTGGCCTGTTCTAGACTGAGCTTGGTGAATAACAGTAAAATAAAACTAGTAAATAAACAAGCTTTGAAAGGCCTTAAAGGAAACCCTGGTCATTTTTCACTTTGACTAGATATGGCATTTTTAACGAACTTCTAATTAATTAATTAAAATCTGAAGCTTCTGACTTGATAATGCCCACCTAGATTGAGCTGCAAACTATCAAAAATATAACCCAATAGGAACATAGATGTATAAACAGATTCTCAACATTCTAAAATAAAACCTTGAAAGCATCAACAGAAAGTTTAAATTCATGCATACTGTTTCAAGAGAAAGGCCAAGAAAGCAATGGTTCCTCCAATACACACGCGGGTGTCTACAAGGAGTGTGAGGCAGCTGCGAGGACATGGAGAGAGAGGAAGGCAACTGTGGAGTCACAAGGTTTGAGGGGAAGGGCACCAAGTCTCCAGTAAGGCCTAGCTTCATTACTTTATACAACTGAGAAACGGAAGTTTACACGAGCACTCAGGATGCATATGGCATAAGCATTAATTTTTTTTTTTACCTCTAAGCCAAGAAATGCCTGCACACTGTTTGTTCTATCAAGACAATCCAAGCAGTTTGTTCGAACTGTACCACTCTGGCACCTGTAACAATTTCAACAAAGTTACATGACTCGTCTATTACATGAATAAAGCATAAATGAACAGACAGCAACAGAGATGATGAAAATCGAGTATCTTTCTAGTTCCAACTTTCTCTCATCACCATGCAGACACAAAATAATACTGAAAATATTAAACTGATAGCACGTACACACACCTAGACCTCCATCTGCTAATGTTTTGTCATGCGTTTTTATTACCTATCTACCACAGGCTTATTCTTAATTAGGTCTGTAGTTAGGAGCTAAATATACATTCAGGTTTATAATCCTATAGTTCTTTCCACAAAATTTTGGAATTTTGGGAATGATTATTTAAAACAACAACAAGCTCTTTCTCTTGACTACCCCATAAAGCCACTGTGACATAGAAACTACAATCTGAAATAATAGTAATTTTGAGCTTTGCTCATATGTCTACTTCAATTTATCATCTGAACCAAAACTTTTCAATGTACCTTTTCCTTATTCCATATGAAAAAACTAAGGATTTAAGTTACACTAATGCAGGCAATGACATGGTTTCCCTGTCTTTGCATGTAGTAGTCTTCACTAGGGTGAAGAACTGCTGAAACCAGCTTTACTGGCAGCATGAAGCCTGGAAGCCAGGTGAAAGCGGCTCGAATGCTTCTAGTTATGAGACCTGGAGCAAGCCCATTCTCATTCTCCTCACAGTCACACACCCTATCACTAGGCTGTAGCTGATACAAAACTAACGCACTGCTGTCCCACAATATGTTCTAGATAATGACATTTCTTCTTCTTATTTATTGAAATCTAGATAAATACAAGCTTAACATAAAGCATTAAAATACTTAAAATTCTAAACATCAATATAAAAAAGGAAATTTCAAAGTTTAATGTTAAGAATGATTATTAAGTTATAGCAAAATTCCAATTTGCAGAGAAAAGAGATAGAACAGTCAAACCTTTGAACTTCACTGCCATCGAAATAAAAAAATCCATAATCTAGAAACTTCTGGACTTGAGGTTTGAAAACACTGTGCAGTTTCTCTGCCTTTCCTCCTTTAACCATCTGATGGTAGTCAAAAGACACCATGTGGATGTCAGAAGCATGCTCAGAAGCTTTCAGATGGCTCTGGAAGGAAAGCACAGGCTCATGCAGGAGCTGGAGCGCACACTCACATTCCAAGTGCGACCCCCCCCAAAACCTTCACTAACACTGGCAGCAAAAAGGAGAATGATTTTTTGATCCCTGATGGCATTTGTTGTCTAAAACCCCACACACTATCCCTGAGACACTGAGTGGCATAATTAATTCAGGGAACCTAATTAATACTTTAGTTTGGATTAGAAAATGTAATAGTTTCCAATCACCAGTATTTTATTGTTATGATACAACTTTAGTGGGTACTTTTACCTACTACAGAATCTAAAATAAAGCACCTTACTTTGTAACACGAAGTCTAAATCAGAGATCATCTTTAATCCTTCAATCAATACATATGTATGCTTTTTAAGTTTACCATTAAAATATCACTCTTAAAAGCATAATGTTTAACAATAATTTTCTTGCAATCTTAAAAAAAATAGCTAATTAGGCTATTTTTCCACTCAATGAAACCTTATTTCCACCTAATTTAAACCTTAGAAAATGGTTTCTAGTTTGTCTGACAGCTTTTATAACATAGTTTACACTGATCCATCATTGATTATTTTGTTTTTTCTAATAGCCTCAGAGAGTTGAAGGCATACCTAACTTTAGTCTAGGAAGTGCTTTTCTTCCTGGTTACTTTGTTTTCTGTTTCCCAACTAGGTGACCATGGGCCAGAACAGAATATAAAGCAGGCACACTAACCTGGAAAGCCTTACTGAGCATATGTTCACCTTCCTTGGATCCAAGCAAATTTACTACTATTTGTTTACCATACAAATCCTTAAGTGTTCGAAAATGCCTATTGATAAAAAACAAGAAATAGCATATTAAAAGTATAGCCTTTTCCCCAGTAAACAAGAAACTCATAAAATTTTCTAAATTGGATACAAATTCATTCTACATGTCTCAAACCCCTGAATTTATAAAATTCAGTGAGTACAGTTTCCCCTCTGACTTATGGATGCCAAGACTCTCACCTTGGCCTACCCTGGAGCAGGCCAGCCTTCAGTTTACTTTCTATTGTGAAGCTGGACACAGACCTTCTGGTGACCATCTATTTGAGGAGTATTCAAAAGGGCTGCCTGACTAGCTTGAGCCTTTGGAGGCTCCCTTTATCTGTGGCTTTGCTTCCCATAGTTTCCATTACCTGAGCTCAACCAGGCACTAAAAATGCCACCACCTGTACTTATTCTTTCCAGAGAGATGCTACACTCATGCATTCATTTTAGTACAGTACACTGTTGTAATTCTCTATTTTCAGTTATTAACAATTTCATAAATGCATATAATATGATTAGTTCTTGTGTATCTCTCACACTGTGTCTAATCTATAAATTACACATTAACATGTTTATGTATGTTCAAGAGAAACTTCAATATAAGGTGTTATGGTACACATGTATCCATGAGGATAAAATGTACTACTGAAAAAAAAGAAATTAAAAAACAGAGAAAAGGAAAGATAATAAAAGGTTCTGCTATATCCACAGATACCATACAAAGCAAATACAATATGAGCCTCATTATAGTACACAAAAATCATCAGTTCTACCTGTCAAAAGCAGGTGCATTGGCTTCAAATCCCCTCGACATTCGGACACGATGGGATCCCACCTTAGACATGAAAAAGATTTAATCATTACCCAAACTACTATCAATACAAAGAAACATCAGCATTCGCAATGCAAGTGATCCATCCAGTGACAGTGGATGGATGGCCTGGGCCTCACTCGTGGGAATTGTTTAGCATTCCAGGGCTCCCTACTCCTAGTTTTCAGACAAACTCTCATGTAAAAAGAACAGTGGCCAGGCATGATGATACACACTTAGAACACCAACACCCTACTGACTGGAAATCAAAACCAAAGAAACTTAAGATTTAAGAAGTAATATCAGAGCTTGGGTATTGTTTGTTGTGTGAACCATCTAAATCTATCATGTTAGCAAAGAAGGTTTCTCCAAGTTTTATAACTTATAAGGCCTAATAAAGAGAGAAAGAAGAAATATATAACCTGAAACTGCCAACACGTAAAATTCCTTTATTTCCATGACATAAAAGGAAGCTGGGTATAGTGGTACACTTGTTAATTCCAGCACTCAGGACCCAGGGATAAGAAGAATGACATTGAATTTAAGACTAGACTAGTCTACACAGCAAGATCCTGGCCAGGGCTACACCATGAGGCCCTGTTTAAAAAGAAATAAATAACAAAACAGCTGAGTATGGTGAACACTCGAGAAACAGAGGCAGGTGGATCTCTGTGAGTTTGAGACCAGCCTGGTCTACATAGTGAGTTCCAGGACAGCTAGGGCTACGTGTAGAGAAAACATATCTCAAAAAACAAAAACAAAAAAATGATAATAAATAATAAAACCAAAATAACAATCACAAAAAGTAACAAAGATGCTTTACTTAATCAATCTTGAGTGATTATTAATCATTGAATAAGCAGTGTGTTTCTGTAATAAGTAATATTTTCTGAAGGAGTAAAGTTTTCATACACTAGTGAAATGTGTCTGAGATTTTTTTGAGCTCCTGAAATAAATTTTTGCCATTATAATGTGTATGTGTGTATAATGTGTGTGTAGGGCCACAGTGCATGTGTGGAGGTCAGAGGGCAACTCTGTGAAGTTGGTTTCCTCTTTCTATCATTATATGGTTGCAGGAATTGGACCCTGTGCAGCAAGCACCACTGTTTGCTGAGCCTTCTTGCTGGTCCAATGTATCATTACTTTTATTCTTAAAGTTTTAACTCATCAAACTGTTTAATAGTTCAGAACTAAGGCCTAGAAAATTTAGAATAGAACTGGTTCTTTTCCTAATATGGAATTGCATGAATTTTTGTAAAATTAATATAGATTATAATCTGGTTTTATTATTTCTTAAACTTCTACTTTTGCTAGATATCATCTAAAGCACAGTACAAGCACTCACTCCTCTGCAGCGTTTCCATTGTTCTGATACACCGAAGAGCTTTTAAGAATACTCATTTTATTTTTAATTATGCTTATGTGCCTCTGTGTGGTTATGCTAACATGAGCATGGGTGCTCACAGAGGCCAGAGGTGTCTGACTTCCTGGAGCTGGAGCTACAGATGGCTGCGAGCCATCAGGTGTGGGTGCTGCAGGTTGAACTCAGGCTCTCAGAAAAGCGCTGCATATGCTTCCAACTGCTGGGCCACATCCCCAGCTTTAATAATGTTTAAATAACCACCCTCTCTGCTGCTTTAAAACAAATCTTAGCTTTTGGCCAAAAATAGCAGTGTATGCCTATAAATCAAGTTACTACAGAGTCTAACAAAAAATTCTGAGCTTAAGTTCTGCCTTGGCCACCCAGATAACAGAGGTAACTCTGCTTAAGAAACTCAAAGCCTGCTTGAGAGAAACAAACCAACAAAACAAAGCTTGGTTTTTTACCATTCTATTTTTCAAAAACATGTTTTATGTGTATGTGTAAGTGACGGCATGTGTGTGTGTGTATGTTAGGAAAAATCTTAAGAAGAACCTCTCCGCCGAAGCAAAATAACTCCAATTAGACCAGATTAGACCAAATCAAAGATGCTCATGTTTAATGAATGCAGCGCTCCCAGGTGGTCCTGAGCATGGCAGGGGAGGGGTCAGTGTTTGGCAGGCTTTCCTGGAGGTGGAGTCCGGCCCAAGGCAACTCCCAGGGAAAGGGGGCTTGAGATGGAGCTTTTTGCTACATTGGTGCTCCATTGGCACCCCGAGGATGACTGCCAGGGGCTGGGGGTGATGCTTCCAATCATGTGCATGAGGTCAGAAGAGAGCATCACACCCTGGAAACTGGATACAGACAGAACACCTGACTAGGGTCCTCCACAAGAACAGCAAGTGCTCTTAACCTCCCAGTGGTCTCTCTGTCCCAACACTCTGACTTTTGAAATGAAGGGCATCTTTATCAAGGTAAACAAGTTGACTGCTGGCAGAAGAAGCTGGGAGACAGTAAGAACTTGCTGATAAGCATTTGACTGATACCATAAATTATGCAAGTAATTTATCAAATCAAAGGCAGTACTTTTTTTCAAATGCTAAAATTTGCATATATTTTAAGCCTCCATCAGCTTAGGTCATTTCATTTTACAACTGGCTGTTTTATTTACAAGGCCAGTGCTTCTCCCTACAAATTGAGAGTAGTGTCCTGGCCAACCCTGATAAACGACAGATGTGAACTGAGTTAACCTTTAGAAGGCAGAGATATGTGACCTCTGGGTTAGGCACTGTCTCTGTTATGGAAAACTGGCGCCACTAAAGAGGAGGCATGGAGCTCCAGTATACACCTGGAGGTACCAGGAGACAGTGGACAAATACAATGGTTTAATTACTGAGCTCTGATAATGAAGGCTGTAAAGTATGACAGTCAGTATCTGAGTTCTACCTTGAGATAGTGTGAAAAGCCTTCTGCTATCTCCTAAGTTCTTAGCCCAAGAACCAATTAGTTCTAATTTATTAACTTTCTAGTATTTCTAGCAGTCCCTTTTCTGACTATTGCTAAAGAGTTTCATAAAGGAATGTGATGTATTTGGTGAAGAAATCTACTTTGAAACATATTTCATGATAGCTGCCTAGTTACCCATTGATGTTAAAACTCACTCCCCTCCTTAGGGTCAGGGTAAAATGGTAAAAATTCCTTTGTTCAGAGCTTGGTGCCCCTACTATAAAAAGTGGGTTCAGAAACCAGCCTTTTGCCACAGCCTAACAAACACCCTCTCTGGCTGTGGTCTCAGCTAATGTAACATGAAGGTCCTGTTTGTTGTAAAGGGGTGCAGGAGAATTGGCTGTATTCTGTCAATCATGCTTTAAATAAATGCTGGCCAGGCAGGAAGTATAGGCAGAAAAACCAGACAGGAAGTAGAAATGATGTAATGAAAACAGGAGAATTCTGGGAAGGAGGAAGCTGATTCCTCCCACTCCTGCCCAGACCACCAAAGCAGCAGGATGTGATCTGCCTCACTGAAAAAAGGTACTGAGCCACATGGCTAACATAGATCAGAAAAATGGGTTAATCAAGATGTGAGAGTTAGCCAGTGAGAGGCTAGAGCTAATGGGCCAATCAACTTATAACTACCCACACCAGAGGGCTACAGCGAACATGGTACTATAGGGCCTAAGCACTTCTCATTACAATTAACGTAAGATTATATTTCTAGAAATAATATCATAAATTATTTATTTATTTATTTGAGGCAGGGTTTCTCTGTGGAATAATCCTGGAACTCTCTAGGTAGTCCAGGCTGGCCTTGAACTCACAGAGATCCACCTGCACCTGCCTCCCAAGTGCTAGGATTAAAGGTGTGCATCAACACCACCTGGTCATAACCTTATATTTTTAAATACATTTTGTAAAGATGAGGGAATTATATTTTTAAAAATCAAGTTAAAAATTATCAGGACTATCCTGAGGATGATAAGACATCACAGATTACAAAGCCAAAGTGCGGTCACAGACACGTCACTTAAACCAGCGATGGCTGGTCCTATGTGCTGCTGTGTGCCAGGCACCATTTGAAGAGGTTTTCATTCAATCCTCAGAACGGTCCCACCAGGAAGAAGATATCATTCTCATTTCACAGATGAGGAGATTGAGAAAGAAAAAGGATTCAATCACTTGTCCAAGATCACTTAACCAGTAATGGTAGAATACTGGTGCAAATACAGTCTGGGAACAGAGGGTTTTTGTTTTTTTAGTTTTTAAAGCTACCAAATTCTGCTTAAAGAAACTAAGTAATTTTACACTAAAAAAACAAATAAATAAAAACACTTTTTAAAAACTTTAAAATTTAACAAATTAACAGGCTCCTGAGTTGCTACAGCTATGTTATGTGGTTCCGCTAAGCCTTCATGCTTTCGAAGTCTGGTCCCTAGGGTGGCATTAGAGATGGGAGAGAAGCCGTGTGGAGGGAACGCTGGTTTTCTGCTGGCACTCTTATGGGAGCCTAGTAGCTCCACAAGTCTGAGCGGAATATAGCTGACTCTTTTTGGCTTCTGTTTAAATATGTGCTCTCTTCCTTCCATATAACCCTGGGGTAAGGCCACCAAGTGTCACACTGTTTCACTAGCTGTCAAACCAATAAGCCTGTCCGATTGTGACTTCCAATCTCTAAAATTATAAGCCAAAGTAAAATTTTTCTTTATGAAATTGGGATAACTAAGATGAATCACTATAGTAATATAAAAGCAACTAACACAGAACCAAAGGGACAATGTCTACGATGAGATGTTCCTCAGGCCCTCACCTGTGAGTCTAGTACTACACACAACAGACTGATTAGTGAAACTGAAGAACCATGTTGAAAATTTGGACAATGTGGATGCTTTCAAAGAGGAAAACAAACAAACAAATTGGATATCAGGCATATACATACTTGCAACCCTGGTTGTTCCCAAAACAATGGAACAGATCCTCGGATTTGTATGAAGGAAGAAACGCAGTCGTCTAGGTATATAACCTAGAAAATAAAAACATCTAAGAATCACAATTTTAAAGAAGAAAATTTTAAATCTCAGTATTATATACATGTATTCTTATATTTTCTTTCATTTGTTCCTTAGTTTTTTTTAATATTTATTTATTTATTTATTTATTATGTATACAATATTCTGTCTGTGTGTATGTCTGCACACCAGAAGAGGGCACCAGACCTCATTACAGATGGTTGTGAGCCACCATGTGGTTGCCGGGAATTGAACTCAGGACCTTTGGAAGAGCAGGCAATGCTCTTAACCACTGAGCCATCTCTCCAGCCCCTGTTCCTTAGTTTTTTATAATTTGAAGAACTGAGTCGGGCTGTGTTATAGACTGAAATTTTATGATTACATAGTTCCACAGTCAAATGCTATAACTTTAGAATTTTAGGTAATACGTATCTATCATTACAGTTGGGCTTATTTTCACATAAAATATTTATATAAAGCCATCTTGGTCTCTAAATGAAGATTTTAAAATTCATTGTCAAATGTACAGCACTGATTATATCACATTACTTAATTACTACATAAACTTTAAGTTTATTCTAGGGAAGCCTTTCTAAGGCTAATAAGTAGCCACGAACATCATTATACACACCAAAACATATCTACATTTAGGTAAAATTATTACCTACTATCTCCTGTGTCTCCCACACAAGCCTGTTACTCCAGTGTCTCCTGTGTCTCCCACACAAGTCTGTTACTCCAGTATCTCCTGTGTCTCCCACACAAGTCTGTTACTCCAGTATCTCTTGTGTCTACCACACAAGTCTTATTCCAGTATTTCCTGTCTCCCTCTCATAGTCTGTGTTACTCTAATATTTCCTGTGTCTCTTTCACAACATGTGGTAAGAAATATAAAACACTATGTACCTGCTCTGTTTCTACAAAATTGGCAACGTGACCATCATCATTCGTTCCCCGGACATTAAACCTTGTCCCAGCTCGTTCACAGCTTAGCCTTGAAATGAGGCAAGCCTTTGCTTGTTTGTGGGCAGCATAAATTGTTCTGATTTCTACCCCTCCACACATGAGGCGCAATAACCAGTCATCACAATTCACACCATAGTGCTTGAGATGCAAATGCAAAGACTGATTCCTAAGGGTAAAAGAAGAAAGTGGATTAGGTTACTAAGTACAAAACAACACTAAATACATTTTAAAACATTAATGTAATATTATTAAAAGGTTCCCCAAGCAAAGCATTTGCTATGCTAAAGACAGGGCTATAAAATAAAATATCTTATTGTACTAAAACCTTGTGATTGTAGTATTGATAAAACATTTCTAGTCTACTTCGTAGAACACACACATAAACTGACTTGTTCCAGAAGGAGTTACACAAACACATCCTACTTTATCAAAGAGATTTACATAGAAGACTTTTGTAAGGCTGTATTTTAATTAAGTTTAAGCTGGGTTGCCTGGCCCTGCCTCGATGTAGGGGGAGGAGCTCAGTCTTGCCTCAACTTGATGTGCTACGCTTTGTGCTGGTGTGGGGGGCATAAGAGGCCTGTCTCTTCCTAAGTGGAGATGGAAGGGAGGAAGGTGGGTGGGTGGGGGATGGGAGGAGAGGAAGGAAGGGAAACTGGTTGGTGTATAGAGTAAATGAAAGAAACGTGTTATTTAAATAAAATAAAATAAATAGCTGGCATAGCTAGTAGCTATGTACCATACAATGTAAGGAAGGCATAATGTTTTCTATGCTCCAAATTTTTTCCAGCTTTAGTCATGTATTCCAGGGCCTCACTCGTGCTAGATAAGGGTTCTGTCATTGAACACACCCACAGCCTAAATGCTGTACAACTAGAGGTATTAGATAGGGCCTGGTTTACAAACGTGAAAGGAAAAACATTTTATTCCAGCAAACACACAGCCCAATGATGAAGAAACAAAAGATAAAAATACTTAAGAGTCCCAATGACTAAAGCATGAACGGGGGAGTGAACCCACCACCTTAGCCTTCTCATCCTGCTAACTCTTTGCAGAGGTCGCTATTGGAACCTTAGTCTTCTTCCACTGTACACATGGAAGGTTCTGTGGATATCCGGGAACTGGTGGGTGGGAGAGAAACCTGCAGTGACAGATACCTACCCAAGTTTTAGTTAGCGCAGTGCTAGACTGTGTCCCAGTGCCCTGTTTCTTCAGAACCTGCTGCTCTTGCACTGAGAGCATCTACTTGGGCTAGAGGAGGGCTCCCCTGCCTACTATGCACCAAGTATGCTCAATTCCCAGCACCAACAAAGAAAGAGGATCAACTACTTACAATCTTAACATTGAAAATAAGGGAACACTGCTTAGATTGATGAAAATGTCAGAGATGAGATCTCAGAAATAAGACCAGAAGGGGTGATATAACTACACTACAAATTCCACAAATAAGCAAATTTAAGCACATTTCAGTCAAGATCAGAAAGAGCAGCAAATGGGCTTCAGCCCATATTCCCACTCCATCAAGGTGCCTGCTCTACTCTGCTGCGGACTCAGGGCAGGAAAAAAAGTGCACACTCAATCAACCATGTCCATCTGTCCATAAAGAGTCACTGTTAAACACATTACGCCTCACATCCCCGAGCTACCACAATACATAATTACAAAGGAAGCAAGAAACACAGACTCACCAGAAAAACCTATTGTCGGTCGTGTGCTCCTGCATGCTGCGATGTGCATTCAGACTCAGATCTAGGCTGACTCCAGATGCAGACCACGCAAAATAAAAGTTTCCTGAGTTCAAAACTTTTCGGACTTCTGAAATGCGATCCTCATCTGAAGCATCAACTCGAAGTGATATAAACTCAGTGGAAGTTACTCGAAAAACTTCAGATTCTTGGATTTTCCCAACAGACATGCATCCAGTGACTAGGACCAGATAATGTAACATGGTATCACCTGCAAAAACCAAAGATTTTACTGGACAGAACACCAACATTTTCAAGCTCTATAGTTTCTTCTGACTTCTTCCTGTGTTTCCATCTTTAAAATCTTATGTTGTGATTTTTTTTTTTTAAAGAGTCTTACTGTGATGCATAAGATGGCCTGGAACTCCCAACCCTCTGGCCTCAGCCTATAAAGAGCAGGGATTATAGACGCGTACCACCATGCCTGATCATTATGATTATTCTAAACTTACCATGAACATGTTTAAATTGACAACCAGAGGTATTCTTTCAGGGAAAAAATATTCTCAGTTAAATAATTCAGTATGCCAAGCACTAAGACATTAATAAGACAATGTCACATTTATAAAGTTATTTCCAACCTTAATCTGAGGCTACAAAACTTCTTGAAAAAATGCTGCCTTCATAATCTTACCTTGGACAGGAGACTCAGATAAGATAATGAATGTCCAATATCTTTGTAAATGGTAAAGTTTTACAATGAAGATGACAGCATACGGGAACAAGACCTTTGTGACTATTTATAAAGCAATCTGGTTCAGGAAAACTTTCACAGACTTTCTATGGTTTTCCTTTTTTCTTTTTTTACAGCAAATGGCATGATATTGGGGTTTACTCTGTGGTCCTAACTCCTGAACACCAGGATTTTTTTTTCATTTAATTATAACACAAATCTTATTTACATTAGAGTCAGTGCACAGGCAATGGCATAAGCAGAAAGATCCCCGAATCATGGCTCCTTACTTATTATCCAGATTAAACTGAGTATGCTAGCATGGACAACCTATAATATAATACCTTGTGAAAGGTAATTAAAACATTTATTTCATAATTACTTAAACAATAATAGTTGACAGTCCAGCACAGTCTTCTGCATATGATAAATTAATAACAAGTGACAAATCTCCATTTTATAGGCCAGTACTGTTCAAATGCTCCATCAAAAGAGTCTGTCAACTCTTGGCAGCCCCCAGTAAGAAAGGTGCCTGAATCATAACAAAATCTACTATATAACTAAATCCTCCCTTTAGTTGACTTCCTTTTCTTCTTTTAGTCTCATAGTTAGACTTCATCAACGAAGAAAACCATTGCTGTATATGCACAATAGTGCAAGCTTACTTTCTCACACAGACCAATAAAAGCAAGAACCACGTGCAGTGTCTGGACCACATTTCAAGGCATACCTGTGTAGACAAACTGCTAATCATAAAAGTTATCCTGAAGATTATGGTAACATTAAGTCAGGGGTGGAGAGACAGCTCAGTGGTTAAGAGCATTGCTCATCCAGAGGACCCAAGTTCAATACCCAGCACCCACATGGTGTGGTTCACAACAGTTCTAGGGGATCTGACACCGTTCTTGATGCAGCAGGCTACAAGCACATCGTTCACAGACATACATGACATCACCGAACATCCACACACGTAAAAATCAATGATTTTAAGTTACAAAAGAATACTATATAGCAGACATTTCTGAATCTAAATCAGATGCCTTTTCCATCGTATACTAGGGAATCAGTGTTTCTCACACACCTATTCCTTAATGTGCTGAAAGAAAACAAAGGGATTGTTCTCATTTTCTGCTAATGTGTTTCAACAAGATACTCTCCTTTGATTTTAAAAATGTTGCATGTCTCTCTAAAAAAGAAACATATAAGGTTAGCCTAAATATTTTTATTGTATGTATAGGAGCGTTTTCTCTGAATGTATCTATGTGAGCTACCATGAGATCCTGGGTACTCTAGAAGAGCAGCAAGTGCTCTTCACCAAAGATCAGATAGCTGCTGGGAAGGGCACAGTCCATTTCCTTAATGGTGTAATCTCTGGTAGACTGACCACACTCCAGGGTAAACTCCACTTCCAAGAGTAGTTAACCAACACAAACTGGACTTCGTAAGTTTCAGAGAAGTAGTTGGAGAGGGAAGAAGTGGAGTAGGAAGGGACAGACAGACAGACAGAAATTTGGTTGGGTAGGGATGTGGGGGTAGATTTGGAAAGAGTTGGGGGTGAATATGATCAAAATGTATTACATGAAATTTTCATTGTCAATAAAAATTTTAAAAGATTAGCTTAATTAGTGTTAAAAAGATATATAACACTTAAAGCTCAGATATTGAGTCTGAAATAATATGTAGGCAGTCTCTGTAATCTTCAAGGTTATAAAAAAGAAATGGAGTAGATGAGTCACACTGAATAACTTACCAAGGTTTAATCGTAAAACTCCCAAAAGTCCATATGCATCCAGTACTTTGGTATATGTACTTTTAATTGCCTCCTTTTCTGCAGATGCTGTTAAAAAATAATAATTGAAAACATCAGAATTTTTCTTTTTTTTTTTTTTTTTAATTTTTCGAGACAGGGTTTCTCTGTAGCTTTTTGGTTCCTGTCCTGGAACTAGCTCTTGTAGACCAGGCTGGCCTCGAACTCACAGAGATCCGCCTGCCTCTGTCTCCCAAGTGACATCAGAATTTATATAGCTATAAAGCCAGAATTTGAAAAAAAATTTCAAAATGTGACACTTTTTAATTTTTTTCCTCTTTTCTCCCCTTTCTCTCTCTGTATTATTTGGTTTTCCCCTGTGTCCCTGGGCTATCTAGTCTCAGGTTCTTGGTCATCCAAACAGTGTTGGTTCTAGATTAGATCTTGTGGAATGGGATTTAAGTCAAATCAGTTATTGGTTGGTCGCTCCCACAAGCTTTGTGCCACCATTACCCTAGCATCTCTTGCAGACAGATGTTTACATTACTTTTTTGATAATATGCAGAATATCTTTCTGTGTTGAAGACGCTGAAACATAAGATGAAGGTTCTATGTAGGCGCCAGCTCCACATCTCCATGTTCTATGTAGGTATTGCCTTCAGCAATGGGGCCTTAACACCAGTGTATTATATTAGGCATTTTCTCCAACTAGTGATACAGCCTTCTTGTTGGAGTTAATAATTCCAACGACCTAAGTAATTCATCTTTTCTCACTGATAACCTGTCTTATTCACCCTTTAATCCTTGACACTTAGAATAGTGCCTGAACACAAAAATTGAATAAACAGGTATAACACAAATAATATAAACCCAGAGACAGATATTGGGGTTCAAGCTGAAGATCAGAGAAGCAAAGCAGTCAAGCCACTCTCTAGACCTTTTACCTCTACCAAGGCTCAGACAAAAAAAAAAAAAAAAAGAGGTGATCCTGTAATTTTCTCCACCAATCTCAGACTCCACACTCCACTGAGTTCTTTGCACTTCCCCCTTTATATTCCTCTCTCCACCCAGCCATATAGTTCCTGTCTCCACCTCCCTAGTGCTGGGATTAAAGACGCTTGATCCCAAGTGCTGGGATGGCCTTTGTTTGAGCTCTGTTTCTCTTTTAGACACATTCAATCTGTGTAGCCCAGGGTGGTCTTGAACTCACAGAGATCTGCCTCTGTCTCTGTTCTGAGATTAAAGGTGTGTGACATCACTCCCTGGCCTGTATGGCTGACTAGTGGGGCTGTTTTGCGTTTTGGTCTTCAGGCAAGCTTTATTTATTAAAACATAATTGATATACCACTATAAACAGGTACAATGCTGTAAGCAACTGGTTGACCAGAAAGTTTAACACAGCAGTGGGGCAGTCTTTACTGACCTTTGCCTTTCTTCCTTCTAGAAGCTGATGTTATCTTGTTAATAAGTACCATTTAAACAATAGTTTTCCTAGAGCAGGCTCCTATGGTTAGTCTACTGAAAGAAAAATCAGCAACAACAAAAATATCCACAAAGTTTAAAGGAAAAACCTTCCTAACATTTAGCAGATACACTATTACTCTTACAATTTATCAAAGAACCAAAGAAAAATAAACCTTATCTAGTCTTTCAAAAAATTCCAAGTAACACATTGGAAAGTGGAATTCAGAAAGAAACTCACCAGGTTCCTGTCCTACTCCCTCCTCTCCGGCAGCTGGCTGCCTGGCCTCTAAGTCACACTGTTGGCCTCTAAGTCACACTGTTGGCCTCTAAGTCACACTGTTGGCCTCTAAGTCACACTGTTGCCTGCTAAGTCACACTGTTGGCTGCCAACAGCACTCTCACCCTGCCCTCTGTCTACACTGCTGCTCTAGGAAGCAAGGAAGCAGATGGCTCCAGCCTCCCCAGATCCTGTCTATCTCCACTGCTGGCAAAGGGCTCTTCTCAGCCTCAGTTTACCTAACACTCCTGGCCACTTGGATTACACACTCTTCTTTTATCTTAAAGTTCTTCCCCGAGTTCTACAAAGTAACCTCCGGATCCAATTCTCTTCAGACTATCCACTCAAGCTTCTTCCTTGTAAGCCTCACTTTTACCATCCAGGGACTTGTGCTCAGCTAGCTGGCAGCATAGCAAAGGCTAAATGACTCAATTATCATCACGTTCTCTATGTGTTCATAATTAAGTGTGGGCCTTTCTCTAACCAGTACGAAACTGGAGTGGGGAAGAATTTTTGCATGACACTAAAAGTGTCTTACTCCACATTCCTTGATATTGCTCTATCTATGTATTTACAGAAGTTACATCTAACTTCTTCTAATGTTCAATACAAACATAAAATTTTACAATATAAATTGAATTCTGTTTTCTAAAGGAAGCCAGATTTGCCTTCCTTAAATACTGTACTTCCTCATTCAGGGTACCATGGGTAGGGCTGAGAGTTTACTCAGTGGCAGAACACTTATCCAGCACTGTAAACCATGCTGGCCTCATAGAGATCTACCCGCCTCTGCCTCCCAATGCTGGAATTAAAAGCATGTATCACCACCGCCCGACTGATTTTTTTAAGTATGTATACTACACAAAAAAGCAGATGTGCAAAACACTCAGTCTATTTCTCCTGGCAGAAGGTATGGTTTCCAGGTGAGATAGCTCTACAGTATCCCGTAGGCTACACGCTGTATGAATTTAAAACGTCACTACCGCCATGGTAATGTAGGAATTACTGATGTGTTAGTGTCAGCAGCACTCATCATTTGGTTCAACGACAGCAGCCAGCAAATGTAATTTAATATTAAGTCATTCCCTTCCCATACGAACAATCTCTCTGCAACTTAAATTATCAAGAAATACTGTCTAATAACAACTACTTTCTCCTCAATTGCACACCAAATAAACACCAGCTCAGGCCCAATGACAATCCTTCTATTACACTGTCATCCAGCTCAAATATGCAAGTAAATGCCAAGCTGTTTAGTTATCCGTCCTCTGGAATTATCTTCCTAGAGCACGCACGCACGCACGCACACACGCAGGCATAGATGAGATTGCATTTTTCCTGCCAGGAGTCTTGCTTTCCTTTTAAGCTATTGCCAGCAACTTTAAAACGGCACTGCTGCTGAAGTACTTGTTTATTATCTCCCGATTATTTTGAGAGCAACACAAGCCAGGTGTGTGTATGCATTATTCAATTTTCACAATAACCTAAGGAAGGAACAAAGCTACAATTTCCATTTGACCTACAAGGAAATTGGCTTAAATTGGCTACTAAGGAGCCAGCATTGGAGAGAATGGAGCTTTGCTGGGTGTGATGATTCATACACTAATCCTTGCACTGGGGAGGCAGAGGCAGGTCATCTGGTTTCCAGAGTCCCAGGCTAGCCAGGGCTACACTGGGGGCCCTGAAAGAACTACCTATTCCTGCTCTTGTACTCAGAATGGGTTCCTTGTTACATGTTCAAGAGTACTGAAAAGTGTGGAATACAAGCAACAAAAGGAACAATACGTTATTACTCCCCAAATAAGCTTATAGACTAGAAGTTCCACAAGGAAATGGGCATTTTTATCATTTCAAAGTCCTCAAAACAATCATAAAGGCAGGGAAAAGCCTACAAGGCATGCCTGGCAAACCATTACCTTTGCCAGTTACCAGAGAGAATACCGACAGTAATGAGACAGTTGAAAGCTGCCACCTGACTGGAAAAACCCAGTGTCACTCTGTAACAGCCCTGCTGAGGCTGTGGAACAGCAGAAGCAGCACAGCCAGGAGGGGCACCCTGCTCAACAACAGCACTGCTGCTCTTCACGGCACAGGGCTTAGGGTCCAGTGTCAGACCACGGGCTTCTAGAGTTGAGGAGATTAAGACCTGACTACTGTGCAGATCTGAACTGGATCTTTTCATTATAAAAAGCATTGCTGCAACTGGTAAAAGTGGAACAGGGTCTGATCATTAGCAATGGCCAGTACCACTGTATACTTTCACGCAAGAGGATGTAAGGAAATACATAGTAAAGTATCTGGGGTAATAGGGTATCATGTCAGCAACCTACTCTCAAATGGGTAAGAAAATATCCTTTCTTTTAAACTGAACTTCAACTTTTCTGTATGCTTAAAATTGTTTCACCTTCCTAAACTTAGATAAATATCTCTAGATGGCATCAATACGATAAATTCTTACAATACCCTATTTTCCCTTTATAATTCTTTCTTCGGAGACAGTCTCACTGTGTAGCCCAGAATAATCTTGATTTCATCATCTTCCTGCCTCAGCCTACTGAGAGCTGGGGTGAGCGTTTAAGTGGAGAAAAAGATGTCCGTATTTTATGCGAGCTTCCAAAACAGATGATATAGGGGTACTCGTGATCACTGTTCCCCTTCCCCGACAATCCCATTTTAGAAAATAATATAAGAATCTTCAACTATGAAGAGGCTGTCTGGAATAAGAGCACTTATACCATATTAGAATATGTGTATGACCTTGATATGAAACGCAGCACTTGAAAATACCATGCGCAATTCTCCTGTCTTCCTTTCCCTCTCATGACCTCCCGGCACACCGGGTTCAGCGCAAAAGCATTACTGCTGTCCACATGCCCGCGTTCCCCTCGTCCTCTGCTCAGCATGTTCTCTCCATCTGGAGCTGCCACCAGTCATCTTCCTATTCTCAAATATTACCATCCTTCAATCTTAGCTAAGTGCACTTCCTGGAGCTTTGCCCTTATCACTCAATTAAAAGTAACTCTTTCCTTTTATTCTATAGTTTGCCACTTGTATACTAATAGCAATTGAAGCCGGCTTGATTTTCTTCACCCCTCAGTGTGACAGCGACCTAAGAGACACTGAAAATCCCAGCTGCACTAGATACTCACTTCATGGGAAAACTAAGTATAGCACAAAAGGGCATGTTTTGCTAACTTGAACACAATACATTTTACAAAAAGCTTTCCCTTCCAAGGAAAGAATCCCAATGTCCTCATTGCAAAAGATGGCATTTAACAATCCTAAGTAAAGCCTAGAAAATCTCAAGTGTGGTGCGGGAGGGTGGGCACAGAAAGGAGGGTGTGGAGAA